AAATAGGCCTTACAACAACTAGAAGATGCTTATTTGACTAGGTACTGTTTGCCATGAACCATATATGAATGTATGTAACCCTTTCCTTTCTTTTCAAGCAGTTGACTTTCAAACATCTTCTGACAAATAGCTGGGCAGGTTAATTGCTCACGATATTTCAAGAGTTCTTCATTTCACTCCTCCATTCCTTTCAAATGTCTTTGCTAAATTTTGAACGATGTTTCCCGGTTCCTGCATTCTCACTTTGTGCCCTTGTAAGCATCTTGTCATGTCCCCCCTTTTGAAAAAAGGAAATTGCTCTTCAAACATAAGACCTCCTGAGCACACAGCCACCCTTACGATTGCCCTTCTGTACTGTTTTCTCATCTGAGCCTGGCTAATAATGGAATGCAAGGTCAGCGTGCCAACTGAAAGCAGCTGTGAAAAGAGTCTGAGTAACATTGTCAAGCCTAGTCCAGAACAAGCTCGCACTGTCTTCGGCAGAAGCAGTAAAAGAGTTTGATTTCCCTTGCATTTCACACTATGGGGAGACTCGACAGTGGGCAAGATTCTTAGCAATGAATCTGACGTATGGTTTGCCTCAGTATTTCAGTCAGTGAAGCTTGTTTGGAAAAATTCTGAGTACTGTATATTATCAGCCCCAATAACTGCAACACACATCTACCGGAGAACGTGCCCCTTCACTGCAGTATTACCACTGAGTTTCACAAAAATGAGTTCATGACAAACAAAGTTGGTGTTTCTGAGAGTCAAACTCAATTTTTTAAAAAGTCCAATGAATAACTCTGAGATGTCTCTAGAAAGAAGGCAGGGTAGAGGTCTGAAATGTAGCAGAAGTAGGTAGTTTACATATGGTTGGCTGCTGTGACAATCATTAGGCTTAGGCTAATCTATGTACTAGTACATAAATGACAATTTTAGGAAGCCTAAGGGAAAAAATATTTGAAATAGCAAAATCAACGTCCTTCTCTAAATTCTTCATGAGCCATGCAACCTTAGCCCACACACACTCATTATAGGGATGTTTTTGAAGACAAACGAAAAGCAGAAATTAGGTGGTCATGTCACTGAGCTCTGAATATAGAAAAGGAAGCAGAGCTCAGGTTACACAACACAGGACTAGCTGTGATGCACATAAAAGAACACTGAAGAACCTGAATGTACTGCCTGTTGCTCGAAGTGCCAGATAAGAAGGGTTTTTTTGTCAGATTGTATTAGAATAATGCACTATGAATGATGGTAATGAATGAATGAATGAGGAGGATGTAAATGAATGAGGAAGAAATAGAAGAACAAAATATGAAAGGGTCAGATAAGGACAGGCGAAAACATCACATTAAGGAGCGAGATGAACCACACAAAGAAGCAAGCATTCCCTTCTAGATGCCACAGGCCAGTAGGAAGGACAGTCAAAACAGCACCACCTACGTACAAGATCATAACAGACTTTGGAAAAGCTCAGGTTTTGCAGAAGTAAAAACAAGATATGTACCTATTTTTGGACTACAAGTCCAATAATTCTCTTTTCTGGGAAACTCACCCAGACCTCTGAGATACCTAAATTGTGGCCACCTGGAAGGAAGGCTCATCTGGCATGCTTCATGCTTTGGATTGGTCTAACCTATGAGGCCTATCCAGCAACCACTGGGGCTTCAGGGCAACTTTTTTTTCAAACAAGAAGTTAAGCCTATCCAAGGCATGAAGCCTACCAGCTGGGCCTTTTCTCCAGGCGAGTACAAATTTAGGTGTTTGTTATATCTGGGTTCTGCAGGTAGAACCCCAGAAAGGAAAAAAATATGAGATTTTTTAGCCCCCCCCCAAAAAAATCCAAAATGCACATCCCTAGTAAAAACATCTATTTAAAAAACATCAACAGGGAACTTCCCCTCCCCCCATAACAACTCAATGAGGACTGACTATATTCAATAGGCGTAGAAAATTGAGGGACTGTTGCAGAGAAAACCAGAATGGGGAAATGGAATGGCATAGCACATTTGGAATACTAAACAGTGGGTATTCCATGCTGAAAAATGTTGCGAATCCCAAGTGTTGATTCATAGTTGGCATTATCTATCAAACATCATACCGCTGTGATAAATCATCAGATGTGTTTATAAGTTCTCTTCTACTACAATAGAAAAAATTGAGAAAAAATTGGCGATATTGGAAAGAACACACAAGGTTTGAGGTCTAAAACCTCAAACCTTCAAGCAAAATTGTTAAGATAACTTAATCAGCTTTTGGTAAGCTGCGGGCATGTAAGGAATATGTGTTATGTGAAATGACAGATTAAGTAGCTAGCAACCAGATTTAACGAAACCTGGCTGTTAGCATCTAGCTAATCTAATGAAAATCCAAATTAAACATGAACTGATATAAAAACTCCCTGAAGCAAAAAAAAAAAAAAAATACAGACAGTACTTGTAAGTCATTCCATGACTGTAAAGGCATAACACAAATGTCATATTCTGTACGATTAAGAAAGTGATAATAGGAAAGTAACTATATTTGCAGAATAGCATCCGGTAAGAAACTCAATGAGACACAGAAACTGAATGAGGCAGATGAAAAAGGCAATGGGATCGGAAAGTCAAGTGCAAAGAAAGAATATCACAACTTCTCCTGACCTGCATGAACGTGGGCACATAGGAGTATGCACGTGTACTTCATTTTACAGCCAGAGAAGTTTAAATGTGGCCATGTCATGAGCAACATCAACTTAATAAGTAGCAGACATCAAGTAGGGAGTATTCCTCGGAACAAGCTTGGGTAGAAGCACATAAGTAGATTCAAGTATAATTAATACTGAAATATGGCAAAACCTCATTATTCAGCATGTATCTGACTTTCCAGCTCTCTATAGAAAACTATTTGTTTATGCAACATTTTCAGCTAGTGGGTCAAGGAAAGGTCTTGTAGCTCACTCAATTCTCCACAAAAGAAAAAGTAAGCTAGTGGATAATGGCTACGTACATAAATGTAACAATAAAACTGATGTTATTTCGTTAAAAGCAACAGATTCAAGAAAACAGAACCAGACAGATACTGTTCTTTACAGATACCACATCAAAACGGAGTCCTAGAACAGAATTTGGGAGGAGACCATGTTATTACATGGAAGCATCCATATCTGAAGTGAACTCAATTAGGGAGTCAGCTGTATCAGGCTGCAAAATAGAGCTGGGTGGGAAAGCCACAGAAAATCTTGAAATCAAACTGATTTCAACTGAGCAACTGTTAGGTGCTCTGAGGAATAGCAAGGTGGGAAAGATACACTGAATATGGAAATATGGCTCTGATTTCAAAACGAGACAAGGAGTTGAACATTGGATGCCCTGGAAATCTTTTTACTGTTGTTATCTGTCAAAGTCTCAACTTCCACATGCATACCAACAGGATAAATTGTTCTTTTTGCAGGCTTGATGGTCAGCTTCTTGGAGGCAAGGCAAAATCTGTTTCCTATTTAAACAATATCAGATGAAACAGGAAGTTTTTTTAAAAAAAGGATGCTTCATCGGTAGCAAAGCAAAATAAAAGGGAGAAATTGATAAGAACGACAGAATGAAGTAAAGATAGTGTTGTAATTAGCTGAAATACCTTGCCTGATGGCGTCCTTCACCATGAACACTGCTGTTATCAAGGCACCAAGTAAACTAAGCCTCTCTTCTTTCCCCTCCCTGCTACAGTTCTGTGAGCTCAAGAATCTCAGATTATCTTCATCATCTTAGAACTGCAGAGCTGGAAAAGACCTGATGGATGATCAAGGCCAGCCGCTGTCAAGGAGCCACAATGGGGAATCAGACTCCCAACATCTATCTCCACAGCCAGATTCCAAAACCATTTGTCTTCATTAAAAAATGGAACCCCCATAAATGTATTTAAAAATGTAAATAGTAGTAATGACTGTACTGAAAGCTGCATACCAGGAAGAAAAATTGAAAAATGCATGAAATTAAGGGCTGTCTTTTCTTTGAATTTGCTTATGGACAGCTGATCAAACAAAACACTTGGCAGCACAGAAACTGCACAGAGACTTGAAAATGGGTCGAAAATATTTGTTTTATATAAACACCAAGTCAAGACCAAGACAACTGAAGACAGATAAAGAATGTTGTATTTCTCCTCCAATGAACTTCAATGAAATGGCAGCACTTAGAAAATATCTAGCTTTATAATATATCTTTGGCAGGATTCATATTGATGTTCTCCATTCATCTGTAGTGACTTTGGGCCCACACTCTATGCTGATTGGCACTTGGCAGCTAATCTTATGAAAGGTCTGGCCATGGACTGGACTCTGTTGTACAGTTAAATCATTTTTTAAATGTCTGCTCTCATGTCTTGTGGCTATATCCACTCATGGAAAAGGCTTCAGGAGTTAACCTCGAGGCAAAATCCGGAGCTGGAGTCCCGAAGGCAGCATGTGTCGTTCTGCCAACTCCTGCGACATTGCTGGAACCAGTTGTATTGGCTCTTGCCTTTCCATTGGATCATTTCAGCAATGTGGAGAGGGGGGATCTGCTGCTTGGGTAACAGCCTATCCTCCATATTACCTTACCCGGGCTTCATGCTCTGGAGAGGACACTCCTCAATTCAGAGCATGTTACCATAGTCTCTCGAGACTGAAGGATGCCTATGCTCCCATGATGGGAGTCATGAGCCAACAGCATCTTGCCCCTTCCCCAAAGACCAGCTTCTGCTTGACTCTTCTATTGTGGCATCAACACGGTCACATGAGTAGTTAGGTTTATCCAATTAGATAGATTAGGTAGCTCCGTTCTGAGGTAAGACACATTGGCGAGGAAGTCCTGCCCCCTACAGTCTGACAACTGTATGATTTTGGTGGTAAATAAAGACTTCTAAAAGTCATTCCTTGAGACATCTTGTGACTGACATCCAAGGGAAGCTTTCAAAGGTTCTGATGGCTGAATGGCATCAGGGCCCTAAGCAGGATGGCTTTATAATGTCTTCATGAGAGGGCCTTCCTTTTTCTGTGTTTCTTTCACCTAGAGGGGAAACAACTGCAGTTCTCAGATCACTTCCTCAGTAAGTCCCCAAGGATGTCAATGAGACCATGAGAGTAAGTGTCTGGAGAGCCGAGATCATTAAGTACCTGAGAGGGAGTATAAAAGGGTCAATCCTTCGGGCATACTCTCTTCTAAGCCAGTACCTCTTTTTCTTTCTTTTTTTGCTGACCCCCCCACTCCCACCCCCTGCCAATGTCAACAGCACTTGCACTTATGAGAACCAGGGCTTGTTAAGAAGTAATATTGTACAGGTTCTATTGTCGTCCTCACAACAACCCTGTGAGGTAGGTAAGCATTACAGGTTCTGCTTCTTAAAGCACACAAGGAGGGAACCGTTTTCACATTCCCATCTAATTAAATGGCAATGTTCGGGACCCACTCCCTGCTTCCAGAGTCACATTCAAATTCACCGTTCTGCATGTTTGTCAGAGGCTTGCTGTGTGTTAACATTACTATACAAAACAGAGAGCATCATGCAAGTGGAGTAGCACAAAATAGTTAACCACAGAATAGCAAAACTCTGTTTGTACCAGAAAAAAACACAACAACTCCACACAGGTCCCGCAGTTTATCATGAGAGCTGTATGTGCCTGGCTGCTGGGAGCCTGTTTCCGGAAGTGAAAACAGTTGGCTTCTCAACCCTGGAATGTCTGATGTTTAAGGCATAGCACAATAGGAAATGAAATAATGATCAAACATGACAGAAATAGTCTCTACAGGCAATAATAAATATATAAGGAAGCTGACAGTGGAAAGTCTCTGCTGTCCCTCCTCTTGAGGCTTTCACAGAACGCCCTGGAACTGGGCTCAGCCGAACAGCCCACCACTTACAGGTAGCTCATAATAGCAGTCTATATCTCCATATCCACAGGTCTGATATCTCCGGTTTTGTGTTCCTTCACCCACAGTTCCCTGTCTTTGGCCGGATCCACTTTCTGAAGCAACTGATCCACAGGTTCCACTGTCTAAAAATGAGAACAACATAAAAACAGCAGCAGTGTTATTTTCCAAAGCACAAATGAAATCCTTCTGGAAAAAAACCTGGACCACCTCTCTATCTTCTATGCCCCTGTGCCCCGCTGGAAACAGTACAGAAATAACAAATATCTGTAGTGCATGTTTAAAGTACATTAGAAATAATTTAAAGCAGACTCACGCTTTGGTTGAACATGTCTGTCTCATGCCGTAACTGCGTATACTGGCAAAGGTGTTGCCGAATCATCTCCACTCTCTCCACCTCTAACCTCTCAAGTTCCTGTAAAGGAAGAACCAAACACCTTCGTTAACAGACGGGATGGCGTGGAACCAGATTTGAACTCACATTAAAAGTATTACTTCAGTGATTAGGATTTTTATCACTCCCATTGTTTAAATTGGATTATGAGCCTCATTACAACTGTCTAAAATACTCCTCTACTTCAGCCATGAGTTAAGTAACATCCGATATAGATAAGGATTTTCCCTCCTGTTGCTTCCACTGACAATCAATCTATGGCTTCTGCAATTAGCTTTCTTGACAATGGGCTACTGTAATGATGGACAAGAAAGCAAAGACCAGGAAAAACTCTCGTACCTGCTTGGGAAAAGTTAACATCAGTAAGGATGCACTGGTCAAAATCCTGTTTGTTTCTCCGAACACACAACAGTTCATTGTGTGCAGGGTTATTATATTTTATATCAATTGCATAAGGCAGTGTGCCCCTCATGCATGCATAAGTATCACTATTAAACAAAGGACAATCTCCAGCTTGCACAACAGCAAGCTCAGAATCACTGGAGCAGTCATGGAGCACTCTGTCCAGAGAGCTTTAGGAAGAGGGAGTTCTGTTCTAATTCATAGTAGAGACACTCTCCATTTTATGGGCTGCATATGGGGGTGATGGGGAGAGAAAGAAATTGTACAAAGTGCTTTCAATCCGGCAAAACAGTTTACAAGGATGAATGAAAAGATGTTCAAAAACGCAGACTACAGAAGCAACATAGACAGAAGCATACATAATTCAGAACTTTGACTGAAATACCATTTTTTTCAAGAAACATGCAAATTTCAAGTGCCATGGCTTGCAAAGTATTTTCAAAACAGTTGTTACATCAGTTCCATATAACATAATGAGGTACAATAACATATTCTTCTGTGGATTTGCTGCTGCTGCTGTTACATCCATCAAGTTGCTTCTAACTTATCACAACCCTATGAATTAGTGACCTCCCAAAAGCTGATAATGGCCAGTGCAATACACATAGACTTTTAGAAAGCTTCACACGTTTAGGAATTTTCATCCACCACATAAAAGAAATTTTGGGGAGTATCAACTTGATTTATTCTAAAGCAATAAATGACAGATGTCATCTACTGATGACAGATGTGAAAAAATCTAGTTCTCTGAGAGTTCTGGTTACAAAAGGTTCCTCTTCTTCTTCCTGTCATTCAAACTGCTAGCACTTTATACTCTGCACCCATAAAATGTTGATCCACATGCTTCTTACACCAATGCACATACAAATGATTTTCAAGATGACTGCAGTGTGGAAGCACATTCAGCCAAGTTCAGCTACTCAAAATATGATTACGCCAAACACTTCATCCTCCAGACTGCCAAAAGGGAATGATATGGAGGGAGGGCAAGGAAATGCACTGTATAATATCAGGCTAAATCGTAGCTGATTTGCAACGGTAATGTTTTTCTTCTTATCAGGCGGAGGTGACTTCACTTTGGACTGCAATTTCTAGTGGCAGCACAATGTTCTTATAATGATTTGTTTTGTTCCTCAGGAATCAGAAAGAGTTTGAAGAATGTCAGACATTGGATGAAATATTGGCAAAACTGGACAACAGGTCCTAAGAGTGTGACAAAGGACGGCTGCATAATCTAGATGTTGACAAATGCAAAAGCACAGGTGATGACTTCCAAATACACTACATTAAATAGCAGAAGGTATAGGAAGGTACAGTGCTATCTCTCCCCTCATAGCATGTGTAATCAATTGAAAAAGAAAAGCAATTTGCGAAGATATAAAAAGTTACTGTTCATCCAGCTGAGTCATTTTCTTTCCAACTTAGGAGAAAATCCAGTTTTGAAAATAAACAAAGTAAAGACCCAACATGACGTACCAGAGAGGTGGTCACCATCTCTTCAAACCACTTTGATTGAGCTTGATTATACAGATCCACACAGCGCATGAGATCGTCTCCTGAAACCAGGCAAGAAACAAAGTCAGTAATTCTTGTGAGCCTCTAATCACTCAAAAAGGCACCTTGAAGTGAATGTGCGGTTACTTCCAAGTCTCTATATGCAAGGCATCTGGAACCATGAAAATGACAGGTTACCCACCTGTAATTCTAGTTCTTCGAGTGGACCTCTGTGATTCATACCTTGGGTGATCCACGCCTGCATGGAGCCTCATCGGAAAGTTCTAGAGCTTCTGCGTAGCAAAAACCACATTAGAATAAGGCCTCTCCTCCCTTGTATAAGTAGCTTGGCGCCAAGGCTACGCTTTCAGTTGTGCCAACCGCCGCTACATTAAGCAGAATGGTGTGACAGTGGGGAGGACGGGTGGGATATGTGAATCACAGAGGTCCACTCGAAGAACTACAGTTTCAGGTGGGTAGCCTGTCGTTCTTCTTCGTGGCCTCTGTGAATCACACCCGGGGTGACTAAAAAGCTGTCTTACCTGGAGGCAGGGTGTCATGCCAAGGTAGAGGCTAGGACAGCACATCCAAAGGCCGCATCAGACTTCTGCCAGAGATCAAGTCTATAATGCCGGATGAAAGTGGATGGCTGTGCCCAGGTGGCAGAGGCGCAGACGTCCGGAAGAGGTATGCCACGTAGGAATGCCGTAGAGATCGCCACTGCTCTGGTGGAGGGTGAAATCACCTTCGGGCATGGTTTGTGTGCCAGCTGATACGCAAGGTGAATGGTTGAAGTGACCCATCTAGATATAGTTTGAGACGTCACCTGGCGACCTTTAGTAGGTGGTTGGTGACATGATAAGTCAAGGTGAATGCCTGAAAGGTTGTGTACATTGGACATAAAAGGCAAGGGCTCACCTACTGTCTAAAGTATACAGGATTCTTTCTTGAGTTGTGGACGGTGATGGGAAGAAGGAAGGAAAGAAAAATGGCTGAGAGAGATGGAATTGAGATACAAGTTTGGGGAGGAAAGAAATATCCATGGATAATTTGATTTTGTCTGGAAAAAACTGTAAATGTTGTGATGTAAGGCTGCTAAATCACTAGCTCGTCGAGCTGAGGTGATGGTGACGAGGAAAACTGTTTTAAAGGTAAGTAGCCATAAATCAGTTGAAGCTAAAGTTTCGAAAGGAGCTTTAGTAAGTTGTTGCAGTACTAGTGTTAGTGACCACTGCAGGGAAGGCGGGCAAGTATCTGGGTAGATACAAGATAGACCTTTAAGAAAACGTTTTAATATTGGATGCTTGAAAAAATCAGCTGCCGGAGAGTTAGGGGGCTGATAAGAAACTTTGGTGGCCGCTAGACTTGAGATGAAGCAAAAAACATAGAACAAATGATGGGTTGATACAAGGCAATGGAGAAGCTTCAGTAAAAGATTTGAATTTGTTTCATTTATACAGATAAGTTTTCCTAGTGGAGGGCTTCTTTGCTGGACAGAGGATGTTCATTAGGCAGAATCCTCCACGCTGCCAGGTGCAGAACAGGTAAGTCTGGGTGGAGTACTTGGGCGTCGTTCTGCGTGAGGAGGTAGGGCAGGTGAGGGAGGTGGTGAAGGACTGGAAACCAGGGTTGTCTCAGCCACTAAGGGGCTATAACAATGGCATCGGGTTTGTCCTGTTGTAGGAGAACCACAACCTTGTAGAGAAACAGGAACAGCGGAAAAAGGTAAGTGAGGGTCTTGGGCCATCGGCCTATGAATGCATCTCCTTGGGAGTGTTTGCCAATGCCGGCTCGGGAGCAGTATCGTTTGCACTTTCGATTGACATGGAAGGCTAAGAGGCTGAGAGCTGGTTTGCCCCATTATTCGCATAGGTGAAGAAAAACTGATTGGTCTAACTCTGACTCATGAGCTTGAGAGTCTGTGCCACTGAGTAGATCCGCCAGGTCGTTGTCATGGCAGGCAATGTGTAAAGCCGTGAGGCAGATATGATGTGCTAGGCACCACTCCCAGAGGTCGACTGCTAAATAGAGGAGACTTGGGAGAGTGGGTGCCGCCTTGTTTCAGAATGTAGTGCATTGCCGTGGTGCTGTCGGTGGCAATTTGTACCATCTTGCCAGCAAGGAGATTTCTGAAAACTTTGCAAGCTCTTAAAACCGCCAACAGCTCTAATTCGTTGATGTGAAGCAGTTTTTCTCTGGAAAACCACTTGGCATGGATTTTGAGAGATTTGCAGTGAGCTCCCCAGCCTGTGAGGCTGGCGTTGGTGGTGACCTGTATTTGTGGTCGTGGTTGTCGGAACGGCTGCCCAAAGGATAGGTTGGGAGGAAAACGCCACCACTGAAGTTGGGAGGCGAGTTCTAGGGTGACCCTTAAAAGAGTGTGAGGAGGGTCTGTGAGCCTCCATCGACACTGAGCCACAATGAGGGCAAGAAACCACGACTGAAGGGATGACGGCAAGAAACCACGGCTGAAGAGATCTCATCTTGAGACATATGTGCTGCACTACTGAAGTCATAGAGGTCATGGTGCCTAGTACGCGTTGCACAGTCAAGGCAGGTAACATAGCATGAAGGGTGAAAACCTGGAAGTAAGGTGATGAAATTTTCTCTCTTGTTTGGAGGAAGAAAGGCACAACCTTGTGTGGAATCTATGCATGTGCCTATATAATGAATAATCTTTGTAGGTTTCATATTTGATTTTTGTTCATTGACAAAGAGACTGAGATTGCGAAGGAGGGTAAAGGTGAAGTGAGTGTCTCGTTGGGCCGTGCAACAGGAATGAGCTACGAGGAGCCAACTGTCGATATATGGCTATATGATAATTTTTTGCAATCTGAGGTAAGCAGCTACTGGTGCCATGCACTTGGTGAATACTCTTGGATCTGATGCAAGTCTGAAAGGAAGCCTTTTGAATTGGTAGACTTGTGATCCTAGCTGAAATTGAAGGAATTTTCTGTGTGAAGGGTGTATGGAAATATGGAAGTATGTGTCTTTGAGATCTATGACAGTGAACCAGTCATTTTTGCAGAGTAAAGGGAGAACTGATTTGAGGGTAACCATAGGAAATTTTGTGGTAATGATGTATTTGTTTAACTCTCGTAGGTCTAAGATAGGGCGAAGACCTCTGTCCTTTTTGGGTACGGTGAAATAGCAAGAGAAAGACCCTTTGTTGGGTTGTGAGACAGGTTGTATGGTGTATCTGAGGAGTAAATATCTTATTTCCTCTTCCAGGGTTGGAGATGGTGGAGTGATCACACGTGTTGCCGGAAATGAATGCAGTAGCCATCGCAGATGATGGACAGTACCCAGGCATCTGTAGTGATGGATTCCCAGACAGGTAGATGTTTCCAGAGGGCAGGATGGGTGGAGTGGTGTGTGATCTCGGTTATGGAAGTGTCAAAGGTAATGTTTGGGTTTGCGGTCATTGCGCCTAGTAATGGGTTTTTGGCTAGGTTTCTTTCTTTGATTTCTGAAATAAGGTGTATAAGATGTTTGTTTTGGCAGATCACGTTGGAATTTTTGATATGAGTTGTATGGTCATCTCCACTGATTTTGTTGGGGGCGTTGTTGGTAAGATGGATAAACTCCCCAATGTCTAGTTGCTGATCTTTTCTTTTGCACATTTTCCAAAATATCATCAGTTTCAGCATTAAAGAGGCCTGGCCTGTCGAATGGAAGGTCTTCAATATGTGTGTGGGCATCCTCAGCCAGGCCAGCTGTCCTTAGCCAAAAGAAATGTCATAAGGCTAATGAAGTGGCCATTGGCTTTGCTGTGGCAACTACTGTGTGCCTAGCAGAAAACATTTGTTGTTTGGCAACGGAAAGACCTTCTTGTTGAAAGGTTTGGGCAAGTACTTTTTAATCTTCTGGTAAAGATTCGACAAAGATTAACGTATTGTCCCAAAGGAAACGTTGATATGCACCCATGGCTCCCTGGTATTTAGCGACACGCATGGTGAACGCTGCTGATGAATAAAGCCATCTTCCCATTGAGTCAGTCCTTCTACTGTCTTTATTTGGTGTCATGAGGGTCTGTTGATGTCGAGATCTGGATTGTGAGACTTTGACAAAAATAGTTTGGAGCTGGCTGTTTTCCAAGGAATAAAGCTCCGGGATCATGGACTCTGTAGAGGTTATTGATTTGTTTAGATATTGATTTGTTTAGACATTGGGTCATATAGGGCTGTCGGGGGATGGTATCTTGTTATCACAAATCATGCAGTGTTTAAATGGGCCCAAAGGGGCCATGAATAGGAGAAAATAATTTGAGTAGAAAAAGCGATGATTGGGGGGGGTGCTGCAACTGGAGGCTGAGTGAGGTAGAAAGGAAAAATCTCTGATGATAATAAATTTGATCTATTCTAATAGTTTAACGGGAAAAAAAGACTAATAACAGGAAGGAATCCAGAATAAACTCTCTTTCTCTTTTACTCACAGAAGCAGAACTATGAGGCTCTTAACGTGGCGGTTGAAAGAAACTGAAAGGGGAGCCTTGGTGCCAAGGTACTTATACGAGGGGGGAGGGGCCTTATTGTAATATGTTCTTTTGCTGCCACAGAAGCTCTAGAACTTTCCGATGAGGCTCTGCACAGGCGCGGATCACCCAGGGTGTGATTCACAGAGGCCACGAAGAACCACAATGTTCCTCTAGTATGGTTAATTCAAACAACTCAACAAAGGAGGACATGTTGACCTCTCTGTACTTATTCGAATGAAAGAAGAGTTTTAAAGAAAACTACAATCCAATCCAAATGAACAACATGCCCCATTGGCCAATAAGATGAGTTTTGAAGACTAAAAGTAAGAAACAAGCTTTTAGTTTCATGTCCGCTGAGCTCCGATGAGTGTCCTCTGCTCCCATCAAGATAGTCTTTCTAATTTTCCTGGCCCAAAGATGCTAGGAATCATGGAAATGTCCAAAATCTGTGTTGGGCAACAAAGAGAAAAATAATCTTTCCCAATTTTGGACATTCAATTTTAAATTGATGTGAGAAACCCAACCACAGGTAAGAAATGAAATGGGCAGAGGGATTTTTACTGGGCCAATCACACACAATGAATATTATCAAGGATCTCAACAGGGGTAAAAATGCCTTTTACAGTTTCTATATACTTCCTTTTCTTTTTCAGTTCCTGGCTTAAAATCCATTATCATGATTGAAAGTCCTTCCCTTTTTCTTTCTCTGCAGTTTTCTGTGGCGCCCAAAACTAGAGTGGGGAGGTTGAGGGAGAGCTGTAGTGGGATCATTCTCCTCCTGCTGATACTGCCAATAAATGTCTAGCATCAGATACTGTCCTCTTTATTCATCTTCCTAGATGCTGTGACATGGGTCACCAAGCACTGTGCCTGAGTAAAAGTAGTGCTGCAGAAAAAGCGCACTGATAGTACATTGTGGCATTGTGGTGTCTTAAGTATCTCTCCTGCCATCTAGTGTACAATCAAGGCAGCATGTACTTGCAACAAGGAAACTCTCAAACCTGTAAAGTGAACAATACAAAGGCTACCTTCTGCTCTACTTTTTGTCACACATTTTAAAATGAATGCACAGAAAAATCTGCACTGGCTACCTGTGAGGTCCTGGGTCAAGTTAAAGGTTCTAGTGCTCACCTACAAAGCCCTCCACCAATGGTCTCTCTAAGGTGTGCGCAGGCATGGGTGCGCTGAGCTCCACTGGTGCTGTGCAGGGGCAGCTGGGGTCAATGCCCGTTTATTTCCGTGTTTTGGATGACACCCCGCCCAGCACATGCAGACAGGTGAGGCTCTCACGAAGCAGGGTTGACAATTAGAGGGCATGTTGCCCTCCACAGTTTGGGACCCCGCTATTTGGCAAAGCACTTTCTCCCAAAGTCATCTAACCATGCCAACAGATCCACCCAGGCAAGGTACCTCTGGGTGGCCATGCTGAAGGAGGCCAGGAAAGCATCAGCAAGGAGCTGCGCCTTCTTGGCTGTAGCACCTGTTCTCTGGAATCTGACTTCGGGTTGAGCTGTGTCTGGCCCCCTCCCTGCCTACCTTTAAGAGGCTGCTGAAGATGGTGATATTCAGAGATACATTTGACAGCAGCCCAGTATGGTTTTTCTGCTACCGCCCTGCCATTTTATTACGAAGCACCACACTACCTTGGCATTCGTACTTGAAATGTTTATCCTACTTCTGTTGTAATTTCTATCATTTTGATCCATTGTTTGTCTGATATTGTTCAACTTTTAGCTTGTTAACCAACCAGAATAGTGCATCGCACTAACGGGGCAGCATATAAATGAAATAAAATGAATAAATAAACAGAAACAAAATGGCACAAATTTTTCACAGTATCAGAGACGGTCACATCATTCAACTGTCAGATCAGTTTCAAGGACATGTTGCCAATTCCATGTGCTAAATTCACACACTGACACCTGCAGTATTGCAAAGACCCTCATCACAGGCCATTCTTCCTCCTTTCTCTACCTCCTTAGGGGGAGGGTATCAAAAAGGAACCGCAGTTCACAGGGAAAAAGGCTCAGTCTTGGAATTTAGCTGCAACAATTGTATTCTCCAACTTGCAAACGTGTACAAAATTTGGCAGAGTATGAATCTTTATTAATATTAAAATATTAAAATTCAGTAAGTGAGAAAGTCAATACTTGTGTTCTTTTTTTTCTTTTACAAAAATGCTCTACTTCTCAGACTGACATTTTTCTCTAGTGAAAACAAGGGGGGCTTGTTATCAATCTAAATTTCCATTTACACCACCATTCCCAGTTTGTCTACATTATCCTCCTCCACCAAATACTCACCAGCTTGAGTAGACTTCCGCCTGGCCTTCTTAATTTCTTCTTCTGTCTTGTTGCTGAGCTTTATCTCCAACTGCTGTGTTTTCATCTCTAAATCCTTCTGCCGCTCTGTTAATGCTTTTCGGGCCTTGAAACAAACCAATAACGATTAATATCTTCAGAAGTTACCTCTTATTTTTCAAAGATTTATTTTCTCACGGAATAAATCCCTCCAATATAGAACATATGCCTTTATTGAAGGACTTGCACTAGGAACAGTTCCTGTCCTATATGATAGTTTGAGCACCACAAAGAAGATAAGAGGCACTCGTGGCACAGTGGTTAAACTGCTGTACTGCAGCCAAAACTGTGCTCACGACCTGGGGTTCAATCCCAGGTAACCGGCTCAAGGTTGACTCAGCCTTCTATCCTTCCAAGGTCGGTAAAATGAGTACCCAGCTTGCTGGGGGGGCAATGTGTAGCCTACATAATTAACTTGTAAACCGCCCAGGGAGTGCTTGAAGCACTATGGGGCGGTATATAAGCAGCACACTTTGCTTTTGCTTTGCTTTTGCTCTCCAGACCAGTCTTATGACAAGTATAAAATCAATGATAATAATAGAGCACCTTACCTTCAATGTCTGAAAGGACATTGCACAAGTAGGTAATATATCCTTACTACACAATCCTGAGAGATCAGACATTTTGCATCAGCCATGAGAAATTTGTATGCAGCACTCTCTAACTAAGAGCCATCAATATTTGTCAACCTCCAGTTCCTGTGTTCTCCAGCTAGCATGAAAAACCACCATGATGAGTGGTGTTCCATGTTGTCAGGTGTAGCAGACCAGCACATCTGAAGGGTATCACACTGGGAAGACAGCATTACAGCGCTGCTTCTTTGGACCAAAAAGAAAGCTCATAGGGCTGGAGTGGAAGGAAGGAGTGGAAGCTACCTTGCTATTTTTTTTCTGAAGGTGCATTGTCCCTGTCCTTCAGCTAGCTGTGAGGAAACTGTTCATCATTTGGATTCAAACTGTAAAATACTTACCTTCTCCACTGCTGCATACCGACTAACCAACTGTTTCCGCAGATCAGCAATGTGATGGTCATACTTTTTCATGTCTTTCTTGAAGTTTTCGCGGAAGTTGAGCAGAGGCTTCTCCACCTCCGCTTGCAGCTGCAGTGAAGAACAAAACCAAAAGTCATCTTCACTCAAAATCTTCTAGTTTTGATACAGAAGACCCATGATTGCTCACCAACTCGCACCCTTAAAATAGTTATAGAAAGAGGCACTTGTGGTTTTCACTGCAAGAGGGAAAGATTCTCTTTAGACCTCGAGTGAGAGACGAGGAAACTTTTTCTTCTTTTTTCAAGGGTCACATTCCTTCATGGTAAGTCTTACCTATCCTCGTTCTTTCGCTTCCTATTCTGCCTCCCCTTTCCTGTGCACTGGACTACAAGGGAAGATACATTATTTCTGCCTGAGGCTGTAATTACACTACACCGCTACGACAATCTGATGGCACTTGTAGTGTTATCGATCTTTCCTCTGGAATCCTGGGATTTCTAGTTTGGTGAGGGACTTAGAATTATCTGCTAGAGAGCTCTAGAGCCCATCTCTGAACTACATCATAGAATTCTAAGTCCCTCATCAAATTATAGGTCCCAGGATTCTACATTACAGTGGTCCCCAACCTTGGGCCTCCAGATGTTCTTGGACTACAACTCCCAGAAGCCTTCACCACCACCTCTGCTGGCCAGGATTTCTGGGAGTTGAAGTCCAAGAACATCTGGAGGCCCAAGGTTGGGGACCACTGTTCTACAGGATGGAGCCATGGCCGTTAAAGAGGTATCCAGATGTTTTAATGATGTACTGTAGATGTACTGTGAACTGATAATTTACAGAGACCTTTTGAAATTTGGCTGAGGGGTGAATGAAATTAGACCTTTGGCCACAGACGGAAGGAAGGAAAGAAGGAGACTGACTAGATATAAAGGAACATCTTATGCACCATCATTAGGGGGCCACAGTGACTGAAATCCTGTTGCACAGTTCAACAAAAGCCATAACTTATAAATGTGAACCGCCACAAGTTAAGAAATATCTGTAGACTTATCTGTTGCACATCAAGGCACTCAGCTCAACTGCCTATGGAGATTTCTTAACTTCTTGTAATTGACAAGAAAAGTAATGCCTTTTGCATAAATGTGAAACAGGATTTCAGGCAGTCAATGATTCGCTGAAAGTTTCTGGTCTTGGAAACAACTTCTCACTGGGTTTCTTCAGTTCCTCTAGTGTTTATTACTGAAAGTTCCTCAAATAGTTTTTATATAACAACATTTGCTATATGTAACTCAAGTTTATAAAAACTCATCCTGCCCATTTCCATCTCAGAAAAGAGAGATTCCTTATGAACTAATAATGTAATTACAAACCCAAGAACAGAGCAACTACCTTGGAGGAGAACTTGAGATGAACCTCTGCTTCATCAGCCAAGCTTTTCTTTAGCTGAGCCCAGGATTCCCCAAGGGTCCTGAAATATAGAACACAGCATACCTGACTGGTAGGAAAATTTACTTTTTTATTAGCATCCAATTCTCATTAGTACAAGAGTGCATTTCAAACAGTAGCAGCATTCCACTTAGCACACACAATGAGAACTATAGCTCCTCAGAGCGTGGAGCCGAAATACAGAATTTAACATTACCTTTCCTAATCTCTCTCTTGAGTCTCTTATTCATATTCATATTCAGAGAAGCAATAATCATGGGTATCTCCAGAGAAACTACATTTCTCCAGCAGTATGGATTAATCAATTACTCTCACAGAATCCCTCAGCGAAGTTAGACTTATAATTACCATGCACCTGAAATAAAACCTCAACTTTCTTTATTTATTTTACCTGTGCTCTTATTTGTACTTAGAGACACTACGGAAAACAAATGTCTCTTGCAGTTAATTAGTAGTGTGTTATACTTTTGAAACACCATAAGGGGCATTTAGTCATGAATTGAAGTATGAATTGAAGCATAATATGTGAAGTAGTTTTAAAATGTTAATTAGTTGCCATGAATTTCTCCACTAGTTTTCTACAGTGGTGCCTCGCATGACGACGTTAATTCGTTCTGAAAAAATGGCTGTCGAACGAAAACGTCATCATGCGATTTTTAAAAGCCCATAGAAATGCATTAAAACCCAATTAATGTGTTCCTAGGGGCTTAAAACTCACCATCCATCAAAGATTCTCCATAGCGTGGCCATTTTTGCTGCCCATGCAGCGAGGAATCCGTGCCAGAAAACAGCGGGCGGCCATGTTTTTCACCCGGCAGCCATTTTGAAACCACCGATCAGCTGGCCGAAAATCATCGCTTTGCGATAATCGGTTAGCGAAACAGGGGACCGATCATCGCAAAGTGAAATTCCCTCATAGGGAACATCGTTTTGCGATCGCTTTTGCAATCGCAAAATCTTTGTCGTGATGCGATTTCGTCATCAAACGCAGCGCTCGTAATGCGAGGCACCACTGTATTACGGAATGAATATCTTTACTCCTGAGGAGTGCTTAATGATCCCAGCAAAATATGAGATGTTTGGATGGGTATCTTTGCAAAATCGCACAGAAAAACTGAAATTCCCAAATAATTGAAAAACCTCTACAACTACGCAGAGCACTCAGTTAATTTGCTCAGATGTCAAGAAAGATTATTAAGGATTGTTAATCATGACCAGTGAAGTTTTAGCACACTTGTTAAAGATAGTGTAGTGCAATGGTTAATAATGGAGCGTCCTGGCACAGTGGTAAACCTGCAGTACTGCAGTCAAGACTCTGCTCATAACCCGAGTTTGATCCCAATAAACTAAGGTGACTGGTTTGAGGTTGACTCAGCCTTTTATCCTTCTGAGGTTGGTAAACTGAGTACCAAGCTTACTGGAGGGAGTAAAATGCATAGCCAGCGTAATTATATTGTAAACCACCAAGAGAGTGCTTTAAATGCTGTTGTGTGGTGTATAAGCAGACTGCTCTGCTTTTTTGATTTTGCTTTTTAAGAGAAGGGCACCAAGAGCTATCTAGTAGAGAGACAGTTCTGCTTACTAGCCTTCCAAGGTTTAGAGATCTGCTGGACAGGCCCTTCTCCTGGTTCCATTATGAGAGGCCCATTTGGTGGGGACTGGAGAGAGGGCCCTGGAACCTTTTACCAACAGGAATCAGATTTGCCCCCTTCTTGCCGTCCCTCTGCTGGCAGGCAAAATACCTTTCAATTTATGCAGGCATTCCACAGTTTATAGCCTTCTGTCCACTGAAGTACTGGTTTTCTCTCTCCTTGATGGCAAGCTATTAGTACTTTAATTCAAAGATCATGAATTTCGAATTCCAATTTTAGTTTGAATTCTATTCTAATAGCATGAGTTCCACTGTAATTGAATGTTTGAAACTGTGTTGCGCATTCATGAAAAAATCATTTAGTGGCGAGTTGTTGTAAGTTATGAAATACCTGCAAGCATTATCTGTTGCACACCAAATAATGCAGACAGTTGCCTACTGAAACTTCTTAAGTTACAGCAATTTGCTGCTAAAAGGTATGCCTTCTGTCCAAATGCACACTGGGATTTCAGCAATTATTTGTTACTTGTTATCCTAACTATACTTTTTTAAAAAACTATACTGTAAACTCCCTTAGGTGACAGTTTTTGGAGAACTATGACATGTAAATAAACAAACAAGCAAAAACCAAACAAGGTAGATGTACTCTGTATATACTACACCCTGCTATCCCTCAGCCTGGTCCCATTGGTGATTATCAAAATAATAATATTGGAATATTTTAAGTGCTTGTTGGCAGGATTACTGATACAATGTAGGCAAAGCATTCTGAAAGATCTTAAGTGCTAATAAATGCAAGGTGAAGAATAGTAACTACATCCACAAAGTTAAATTACATGGTGACTCTTGAAGAACAGAGAACAAAACAGCCGTGTCAAAAACAGAAAGATTCTGCTCACTTTGTGAAAATCAAAACTGATCCAAGAGCAAGTTCTCTGTTAGCAACCATCATGATTACCCTCCTTATTTACTTATTTTATTGTATTTTACTTTATTATATTTTATTTTATTCATTCTTTCATTCAATTTTTATACTGCCCATTTAGCAAACTGCTACTCTGGGTGGTAGACAACAAAAATAAAAACACAATCATAAAGCAAATTTGAATATACAAAAATGGTAGACAACAAAAATAAAGCAATCATAAAGCAAATTTGAATATACAAAAGAACAAGGCAGCAAAAACTGCATATATAAATACCACTTCCTCCACTAATTCAATAAATAATCTCCCCAAAGGGCTTCCTTTAAAAGCTTTATTTTCAGCTGTTTTTAAAAAGGCACAGAGTAAGGCTGCCTGGTGCAGATCCTGTGGCAACACAGTTTACAAAGGAGGCCCAGCTTCTACTTGTTTCCTGGGCCTCCCAAACTGTTAATATTCATAGGCCTATGGTTTGTGAGGACCTAGTCAGTTGGGGAGTCAAACCTGGCAGAATACATTCAGATCAGGTCCGAAACGGTTTAGGGCTTTGTATGTTAGAACCAGCACCTTAAACCTGGCACAGAAGTGGAGCAGTAACGAATGGAGCTTAGCCAGAATTGGGGTCATATGGTGAAATCTCTTCATCTTCGTAATCAAACTTACTTATTTTATTTGTATCACACATTCTTAAAAAATAAACATTCATGTATAAAATCACAATGAATTAGAACATCATCATTAAAATAGGATTAAACCAAAATAATGTTTTTTTTAAAAAATCTTTAGTTTAAAAAGTTAAAACAAAGTTAAAATATCTGATTAATAAAATACCGTTAAAGATATGCTACATCCTTCTAAAATATGCAACCCTGCAAGGACATCTAAAGATTAAAAGCTAAATCAAAAAAGAAAGGTTTTCATCTGCCAGCAAGAGGACTGTAGGGAGCTGGCCAACACAGGCTCATGAGACAGAAGATTCCATAGGTATATCACAAGATGCACAGTCTGAAGCCTTCAGATGTACCCAAATTAAAAGTTAAGACTGGCTCTAAACAAATTTTTGTATGGGAGATTATCTCAGAACCCTGTCTGACATATTGAATTCCATCATTTAAGAAAAGGCAAGCTATAAATGTAATTAACAACTAAATTACACGGATATTATATGTTATTCTTCACAACTTCTTTTCCAATTACAAAAACTTAAACATCTTAAAACTCTTGAAATGCCAATTAAACTTAATGAAAATATGTTTTTCAACTATGTTCCAATACTGGAAAGCCAATCAAGCCCTTAAATCATTCCAGCACAAATTAATGCTAAAGTTACAAGACAGTAATTTAGTATTATTCTATATACATTTCTCTTTGAATTAATTATTGAACTAATCCAAGCAGAAACTATATACACTTCAGAGAAGTATACACTTTATTCACAGCCTCTTAAAACTGTTCTTGCTCTCTAGAGTAGACAATAATGAATAAACACTGAATTCTCGCAATCAAAACATTTTCCTTCAGGGCAAGAAAGGAATAAAGAGAGTTTGCAAAGGATTTACCATGAATATTTGCTACATAATTACCTTCCATATATAGGAAACAACACAGGGCTAGAACACTTTTAAATCCTAACAAGTGCATAGATTTTCTGGACTATAGTTCATAAGATGCATGGTAAATCTAGGACAGCCATAACTCATGTAATTAGAATTGAGTTAAAGTCACATTTCAGATGGAAATGAATGAAAGGTTTATGTTGTAAAAAAACTGGCCACAAAGCAAAAAATCCAGCATCTAATTACAGTATTATAGTATGTGTTCATTCCATCCCTGTCATAGCTACACTGGATTGAAATATCTAACAAAGAGTAACCTTTCTAGCATGCTTATACAGTAGCACCTCGACTTGAGAACATCACTACATATGAAAGATTCGAGTTAAGAACGGATCAGTTCACAAAAAGTTGCTTTGACTTGAGAATGGAGCCTCGACTTAAGAATCAAAAGAAGAAGAAGAAAACCCTTTTCCTGCCATTTTTTTTAACCTAAATTCATCTTAGGCCAAAAGAAGAAAAATTCGCTCCCTAGTAGTAGATATGGATTAACCGGCTTTGCATTAGTTCCTATGGGAACTAAAGCCTCGACTTAAGAACAGCGCCTCGACTTAAGAACGAAAAACAGCAGATACTGATTAAATGGTTTTTAATGCGTTCCTATGGGAAATGGTGCTTTGACTTAAGAACGTTTTGACTTAAGAATGCAGTCCCAATACAGATTAAGTTATTAAGTCGAGGTACCACTGTATATATCACTGTCAAATGTTTGTGTAATTCCTAAAGCTCAATTTCACCTTTCTTTTTTCTATTTCCAGTGGATAGCTGAGGAAACAGATTGTCTTCTTTCCCACAAACAGCATCAAATATAATTTCTTATGTTTGGAGACTCTCAACTCCTTTTCTCCAAGGTGCAAACTTTGAGCGAAATGACTGCAAATCTATTTTATGCTTGCCTTCTAGATACAAAACACACTTCTGCCTGTCAGAGTGAGGATTCTCCCCCTCATAACCACACCGCCTTTTGAAACAGCTATGTTGCACCATGAAAAGATAAGCAAGGCCAACTGTTTAGCACTTCACTGCTGGAATACTGAATGAGCCAAATTACTAAAACCACAACACAGGTGAACTGTAAATTAAATGGGGCAAATCTGCCAAAAACTCTCAACATTTCAAGACCAGAGATATTTTCAATGATACTAGTCAGGCTGCAGTCAGAGAAGAACTGAGGAGTAAGGTGCTTGACTGCACTTCAAGATGGTGATGTAGTGCAGGGATATCCCATATGATGGATGGAGGTGTACCAAACCCTACACTTTTCTACAACTTTAGACGTTTCATTTTTTAAAAAAATAAAATGAAAGCTGCACTCACAGCCTTGGAATAAACAAATTACCAACAAAAAGAGATACCAGTAGAGTTGTTTCAAGCAACAGAAACTAAATCTATTGAAATACTAATGAGAATATCAACAAATATAGAACATAATGGCCCACAGACTGGAAATGTTAGATATACATTCCAATCCTAAAGAAAGGAGATGCCAAAGAGAGCAGTAACAACAGGTTCATTGCACTAACATCAGGTAGAAGTGAGGTGGTGCTCAAACAGCAAAGATTTTTTTACCATATATGAAGCAAGAAATGCCAGACATCCCAGCTGGATTCAGAAAAAAAATAGTCCCTAAAGATCATATTGCAAGGAAATGTTGGCTATGGAAGTATACCAAATATTTCAGAAGAGAAAATCAGTTTTTGGTGTATAGGTTATAACAAAGCCTTTGACTGTATAGAATATATCATGAAAAGCTCCAGGTTGTTCTAAAAGGGACATGCCACAGCATTTGATTGCCTGATGCATAACCTATATACTGGACAAGAGCCTATTGTTAGGTCAGAAAATGGAGGAATACAATGATTTCCTATTAGTAAATGTGTCAGAAAAGTGTGCATTTTATCTCCCTCTGTTCAATTTGCATCATACAGAAACCTGGGTTAGGTTCAGGTGAAGAAATGAAAATTGGTGAATGAAACAACAATTTAAAGTATGTGAATGATTTCATATTACTGCCAGAAAATAGCAATAATTTGCAATAACTACCTGGTGAAGGTTAAACAAGAACATGCAGGATCAGGCTTACAGTTCAGCATTAAAAAGACAACAATCATGTCTACAGAAGAAGAGCTTGACTTTTATGTTGACTAGGAAGAAACTGAAATTGTCCAAGATTATCTGCCCTTTGGTTCAATCATCAGTCCAAATGGAGACTGCAGCCAAGAAATCAGAAGAAAACTGGGGCTTGAAAGGAATCTATGAAGGAATGAGTAAAGATCCTTAAGTATAAGGATGTTTTGTTAGAGACCAAGGCCAGTAGCATCCACACTACACTAATCCTGATAACTTGTGGATGTGAAAGTGAGGCAGAGAAGAAAGCTGACAGGAAGGAAAAAAATCAATTCATTTGAAATATGGAAAAGCTGACAGGAAGGGAAAAAAATCAATTCATTTGAAATATGGCGTTGGAGAAGAGCTTTACAGATACAGTGGTGCCTCGAATAACAAGCACCCCGTTTAACGATGAATCCGCATAGCGATGCGGATTTTGCAATCGCAAAAGCGATCGCATTGCGATGTTTCCCATAGGCCCCATTTCCCCCCAGCTGACCGGGAGCCCTCCCCTGTGGTCCCTCCGAAGCCAGCACCGCCCAGCTGGGGGAAAAGGCTTCGGAGCGACCGCGGGGGAGGGTTTCCGCCACGGTCCTTCCGAAGCCTGCACCACCCAGCTGGGGAAAAGGCTTCGGAGTGACTGCGGGGGAGGGTTTCCGCCATGGTCCCTCTGAAGCCTGCGCCGCCCAGCTAGGGGAAAAGGCTTCTGAGCAACTGCGGGGGAGGGAGTTCAATACGTTCCTATGGGTTCCCCCCCACATAGCAAAGAATCCGGATAGCAACGTTAATCCTGGAACGGATTAATGTCGCTATGCAGGGCACCACTGTACTGTGGACTGGCAGAAAGACAAATAAATGGGTTCTAGATCAAATCCAGCCTAAACTCTCATTAGAAGATAAAAAAACTGAGGCTGTAATTGGTTGTTGTAGGTTTTTTGGGCTGTCTGTACGTGTTCTTGAGGTTTTTCCTTCCTAACGTTTTGCCAGTCTCTATGGCTGGCATCTTGAGAGGACAGGAGCCCTGAAAGCCTTTGCGAATACATTGAGGCTGTAATTGTTTGTACATATCATGAGAAGAAAAGACACCTAGGAAAAGACAGCAGCCCAGGAAAAGTGAAAGGCTGAGTGTAAGACAAACTGAAGAAACAACATCTTGTTTGCAAGAACTGAACAGGACTGCTAATGACAGAATATTCTGCAAGTCATTAACATATCAGGTTGCCATAAGTCTGAAGCAACTTAATGGCATAAAATAAGATGTTTCAAAGACATTGCTCTTGACAGGGTTTGATCCAATACTCAGTCTTTATCAAAAACCTGTTTGCTACCTATTTTTGCTCTTTTAATTTGGCTTCTACAAGCTATTTTAAAGCCCACTCTGGCTAATTTTTATCTGTATTCCACTTGTATTGGACACAGCATCCCAAGTAATGTCTAAAGAGAACAATATACTCCTTTCCTGCACTTACAAAGAAATGCTTACACCAGCACCACCAAAATGGTGGCAGCCCTTTGTATCACAGTAGTTTTCATTTACTCTTGTTCAATCATTTAATATTCAATAAAATATCTAAATGTTGCTCCTATATGAGTAGGCACCCTCTCATACTTATGCACCCTCTTATACTTATGATTGTTTTAATTAGGAATCCCATCTCTTTAGATTATTTTAAAGTGCTTTAGATATATAATTCCACAGGAAAAATATTCTTCTGCTTCAATCAGTGAATGACTTCAGAATAGCAACCCAAACGTTCAATCCATGTGCTGGTTTATGAAAAAAGAGACCAGACAGGATATCCCCAAAGCCTAAGTGTAAGTCTCCACAGGAAAGAGGAAGCGACGGAAAAGTGGCATCTAAAAAAGGCAGATATTTTATGGTAGAATGAGATTGGCTACCCAACTAGTAAATATACACACTCACCCTTCTTCCTGGTAAGCCAAGGAGCTTTGTGATAGTTTAGACAAGTTCTTGGCATATTCTTCTTCAATCTTTATCCTGGAAAGCAAAGGGTCATGGGCAAAAAGTTATTATTTAGTAGAACTGTATCTTATAACAATATCTCACATTATCATCAACCATGGACTATTTCCAAGATTCCTTGGAAACATATTGTTTTCACATGCTCTATAGCCTGATTTGCAGAATGCATCACACATGTATATTTCAGATACTTGTACCACAAATGGCTGGGAAAACTTTAATTTATAATTGTAATAAATCATGTTTACTAACGGAACAGTGATCTGTTTTCTTAGACTTCATCTGACCTTGCACAAACAAACAAAGAATGTGTGCCGAAAACCCAGCCAAGAGCAACCCAGCCATGGCTGCGGGGAAGCTGTTGTCTCACCCATAGATGTTTATTGTCCTCATAAACATCTATGGGTAATGGAGGACAAGCAGTTCACAAACCATTACTCTAAAACCACAATCGTTTTTAACATAAACAAGTTAACTTTTTAAAAATCCATATGTGGAAAGCAGCTTGTATCTAGAGGGGTGTCAGGTTGGGGAGGGCTACTAATGAAGTCAGAAAAAGCCTTTAGCTCAACAAATGAGTTTTTCAAAATCTTCCTTGATAAACATTTTACAAATGAAGTGTGTGTGTGGGAGGGGAGACAACATCAACCTGTAAAGAGCTCCTGCCTCTCCGTTCTTCTCTGTAGTAAATGTGAGACGAGGATATTAACTGTGCAGGTACACAGCATGCAGTCTGTAATGTCTACCTTTCATTCTTTTTTATCTACTCCTTGTTTATTCTTTCACTGCATGCTTTTTCTTTCACCGTTCCTTTTTCCAAAAGAGAGAGGCTAACACTTCAAAATGGCTTACAGTTCTGTTTACGTGATACAAAAATAGGATACACATAAAACAAATCTTTAGAAAGAAAAGATTAAATACATATTAAATATGTGCAGTGCCTGACTGAAGGCTCTGTCAGAAACTGGTAAAAAAAATTGCTTGAAGTAAACATAACCATTTCAGAAGGAAATGAGAAGCAAACTTGCATGCTGCAAAGACAACCAGACCACTGTGCAAAAGGCCGTAGCCTGTATTTCTATGGCTGTGCTTTGTCAAACAGATGCTTGCTAGTCCTTATATGATGTTCCATGGGGGCAAGAGAGTGTTTTGCTATTAATTCATGATGGCATAATTATTACGGGTGAATGATAGCAGGGCTTTCATTTTCCTCTGATCAAGCAGACAAAATCCACCCTTGGAACGCAGTGTTCCAGTCCCCAGTTGCAACTTCTAGAGAAGTAAATCTCTCTCCTATTATTATTTGGAGAGCTATTTATAACAATGCTCTTTTTTCTTCTAAGAGTAGTTATAAATAATGAGCAGCTATAAATAATAACTGTTTATCTCTCTCTTGCCTTGTCCTTTCATGTCCTGCAGATATTTTAAGTTATTTAAACTGTGTTCTAGCAGAGTTGAAGTCACTGGGGAAAACAGAAGAGGATAGGGTGGGGGAATGAGATTTGACAGATGTGTCAAATTTACCGAGGAACCGGTCTCAGCAGAAACAAATAAATAAATTAAAAGAAAAAAACACAAGCGAGTCTCTAATCCTCTTTACAATACTGATTAAAAGCACTCCTCAGTAGTTACAAAAGTGTGTTCTTATATTAAGCAGCCCTAAACAAAATTATTAGACTGTGACCTTAATTTTCTGGCTGAAATCCTGATCCATACATTATACTACGTAAGGGCGATAATGTCATCAACGGGGGTGATTTTTTTTGCAAATAGTCTTTGATTCCCTCTTCCTCCTCTGGCAAAGGTCCCAAGGCTCCCATGAAACTTCTTTCACCGTGGGGAAGTTGCCGTGGTGGAGTGCAGGACAGGGGAAGTCCTTATTTTCCAAAAATTGTCACTGGCAGGATGACTTCACCAGCAGCAGCCATTTTAGGAAATTAAAGACTTTCTGCCCTGTCCTGCCTCCCAAAGTTCTCCTCACCATGAAAGGGAGCCATCTCTGGGGGAAATGCCTTTCAAGGAAGAAACCAGAAATGTTTTAAGTTCCAAAAAATCACCAGAGCTGATGTCATCCGACTTAATGGGGCATAGCTGCATTAACAGGATCTCAGCCTTTAATTCCAGCACCCGGAATTACTAATAATTTCAAAGAGGTAAGTTGGATATGAAACACAGAATGGTGCAGTGGAGAGAGTGTCGGACTACAACTCAGGAGACTTGGGTTCAAATCCCCACTTTCACATGGAAACTCACTGGGGGTGGCAGGGATAAACACCACTCCTTAAATATCTCACATATTTTGAAAACCCCATTAGCGTCGCCCTAGGTTGGAGGCAACATATCAGCACCAAACAACAGAAGGTACTGCCAGGGGATTTCTCAGCAAGGAAATCAGGTATGTGTGTGAGAGAGTATGGCCAACTCTCCTCAGGTACCACTTTGTACCCTTTAATAATCTGTGGTGGAATGATGTGATGGGTCCTCTGGAACAGTTTTTGAGGTGGCACTGGGGAAGAGGTCCCTCTGTCTGCAGAATGGCACCTCTGTATCTAAGCCATACAGAAATTGATGTTTGATAAGGAAAGATTTTTCCGGCTTCCCCTCCACCTGCCCCGTCTCCATCTGACATTATTCCAAGGAGTCTCTGAACAGATTGGGGGAGAAGGGGCATAATGGACTGCAGATGGGAAGCCCATTCCCTAAACAGGAATCCTGTGCCTTTCACAAAGGGAACCTGGGACCCAGGCCATAAAACAGAATACCTGAATATCGCTTCTGAATATCATATCTGGATATCTGAGTAAATAACTCACTAACCTCTAAAACTCGCTATTAGAGATGTGGTATAACAGTCACGTGGCACAAACCTATAGCTTATTTTGAGCAGAGGTGGATGCCCAAGAATATGAGAAGGAGGGCTGATCTCCCCACTGGGACAGAACATTCTGTGTGAACCACAGGGTTGAGGACCGATGGTGTTGCCTCCACAAACATCTATCATCATATCTGCTCGAGGACCAATGGTGTTGCTGTTATGTGCCATCAAAATGCTTCTAATTTATGCAGCCTTATGAATGGGTGACCTCCACAAACATCTATCATCATATCTGCTCAACTGTTGCAAACTGAAGAAGATGGAAACTTCCTTTCATTTTATGATGCATGCCACAAACAGTGGCATCTAAAGCAGTATATTCATGTTAAGAGATGAGCATCTTAGCAATGCAGCCGTAGCCACAGGTTACTGCATTATAGCCACAGGTTGCTCAGTTTTGACCAGAGCTTCATACACAAAGGTTTGTACGGTGATTATTATAAAATTGGCTGTCTAATGGTATTTTTCCTGACTACAGTTATGCTTTTCCGTTTGAACTCCTCGCCATAAAGCAAGTGCGGGAAAACCGTGGCTCTCCAGATGATGTTGGACTAGGATTACTGATTAATGCTAGCTGAGGTTGATGGGAGTTGCAGTCCAGCTATATCTGGAGAACTGACCTTTTCCCAGTCTTGCCATAAAAACTAAGGCTGAGAATGAGCAATTGTGGGCCTCTAGCTGTCTTTGGACTGTGATTCCCATAATCCATGCTTGGCTATATAACTAACACTGATAGGAGCTGTAGGCAAAAAACTTCTGGAGGGCCACAACTGGCTGCTCCTGACCTATTGAGGAGATAAAAGTAAGAGAATATTTCTGTAGATCTGTAGCAACATAGGAACTGCAGGAATGCAAGCCGCTAAGGAGCTCTTCACGTTAGCATTCTGTTTCAGTTTCTGTTGGCCTCTGAAAAGGAAGTGCATCAATGGCACGTGGCTAACAGCTTATCAAACAGCAGCAGAACTTTGACTAACAGGGAGCAATATTGATGAAATAATGCCACCTAGTCCAAGTTCCCAAGTCACCTTTCTCGAATAAACTCTGCCATTTCTTTCTGCATTTGTTTTCCTTTCAGCTGTTTCTGCAGAAGGATTTCAAATCCTGAGACGGTACTGTTGCTTTGGGGATCCTTCTTGTCAGCCTAAAGAAAAAGGGGACATACAAGTTAGAAATTATGCAAAACAAAAACAACACTTGAGCTTCAATAGTCAAGACACTTCTGCAGGTTTTCTGGGAGACACCCCCCCTCCCCCCTCCCGAATACTGCATGTCACAAGCTGGCAAACCTGGGCTGGAACATTCAAGGCCCTTTTTTTCTGACTCCACAAATAGACCTGATGCTGGCAAATTTTTGAAGACGACCAGGTTCACCAGAACTCCCAGGAAACAGCAGGTTTTTGGCCGCTTGGGGGGGCATAATGGCACACAGGAAAGAGGCAGCTACACAGCACCAGCCTCTGTGCTCATAAGCCTTGACAACCTTACCAGCCTTCCCCCCCACTTCCCGCCTGACTTCTTGTTCTCAGTTAACTAGAATAATTTACCTGCCTGCATTTCAGAACCGCCCCCACCACGACTCAACCCTTCTTCCTTCCATCATATTTCCCTGCCTTTCTAGCTCTCCCTGCTTTTCTGCTTTCCCTCCAAGTTTTCCCTTCTCGAGTAAAAATAAAACAGAATGACATTTTCAGGACAAAAAGCACTTCAGTTAGGAATTTCTAGTGTTCAGGTAGCTATCTCTAATAAGATGCATAATTCCTGTGAGAGCTAAGGTTTGCATACAAAACACCTAGTATTTTGTATATACCTAAAATACCACATGAAGTGTAAACAGACCCACCCCCTTGCCTCTGAGACGTGGCAAGGGTGGCCAAACATCCTCCTTTAGAGAGGACGCTCCTTCATTTAAAAGCCTGTCCTCCCTTTCGGTGATGTGTAAGTGCCCCCCCATTGCACCCCCAGAATGTTTCCCTGGCTGAGCCAAGAAAGTAGAGACTCTGGTCAGTGGATGTGCCTAACTTGCCCTCTCCCATTTTAAAAATAAAATGGTGTGTGTGTGTGTGTGTGCGTATGTGTGCATGTGTGTGTGCGTGTGTGTCATTTGCTGTGTTCCCAACACAATCTTATGTAAGATGATGAGCAGTAGTTTCCTCTTAAATGATTGTAATAATGACTAGTTGCGATTATAGTTGCATATACTAGTTTAAATTAGCATATGCAAATTTAATGCAAAAATCTCTTTTTTGGTAAAGAAATCCTCCTTTTTGGTGTTCCCTTTTTTTTAAGCAGCAGGAGCTATCCTGCACAGGGCAGACCTCATGCTAATGGCGGCTACACCCCTTTCCCCTTAGAGGCATCCACATTTTACCAGGATAAGCTAAGCCTGAACATATAGTTGCATTTTACATTGTTTAATAGGAATTGTAACAGGTTCTGTTTTGATTTTCTGTACTTAATATGATTTTCTTGATGAGATTTCATTAAAAGCTTACTGGGCTTATTGTTTTCATTTTATACACCGTCTTGAAAAGAGTACAGCATTAAAGACATTAAACAAACAAACAAATAGCTCTTCTCCACAATGCTAAACAATCTGGATGCCACTGACTACATTCGCAGGTGTATTTCTTGTACCTCAGTCCTAGGGATACCAGCGGGGCCAAACTGGGCAAGGTGTATCTATCTACCTGGGGGGAGGGGGCTCTCCTATGCCATTTGAGGCAGCCCTGGGCAGGTGATTTGGAGTATTAGGAAAGAACAACGAATTTTTAGTCATTTAATTTATTTTGGTACAAGAAATATAAAAGTAGATTTTGGGCACAAAAAATCATCTCTACCTGGCCTTGCCAACCATACATTCTGGATCTGGAGGCAAGGAGACATCACTCTGTTTTGTTTGTTAGTTTGTTTGTTTTTTGCTTTGGGTAATGACATTTCTTGGGCAATCCGGCAAGACTGATTATATCATATTTAGACTACTTGAAAGCCCATGCCCCTTCCCCCACAAGACTCAGAATAGCACCCCATTCCACTCGTCTGCCCTGGAACAATACGGCTGCCCTGGAATCCAGAGGCAGAGAACGAAAACAACTTTTGCAACATCTTAAGAGACCACCTTCCAAGCTTGGATTTTAACATGTTTGCTAACGGAGATGTTGGCAATATGCTACATGCTGCGTAAAGCTCAGCTGCTGCAGTAAATAACATATGGGTGGCTGTTCACTTACCCAGAAGTAATCACAGTAGCTCCATTCTGAAGGTTTCAGCAACTGCTGCTCTGGCATGGCGTCAGGATGGGGAAAGGTCACACAGTTTATCTGACGGAAAGGAAAACAAAACATGCTGGATCTGTAAAGGCAGGTCAGAAAGGTGGATACGTAGCATGTTATGTCAGGAAAAGCTGCTTAAATATAAAACAACAGCGGAGGCAGCCATCGCTGGCTGCAATGCCCTGGCTGGCCAGCAGGTGTCAGAGAAAGCAGGCAGAACGGGGAGCTTGGCAGAAAGCCGCTGCAAGATCCTAGGAACAGTCCCAAGCAAAGCAGCATCCTTGACTGTTGCAGTGTGTGCGCCCACCTGCTTTGGGGTTTGTTTGTTTTTTTCCATGGAAGAAAAGCAAAACTAAGTGTGTGCAGAATCTATCTGAAAAATCGTTCTTAGTCTAACAAGTACCTTTGGCCTTCCTTTCAATTGCTCTGAAGAGAAACCACAAAATACGATCCCAAATTTCAGTTCACTGCTACAACCGGAGAGGCAAGACAGAGATTCTGAGACTAGCCCTGTCATAGAATCATGTTCAGCACCCTACTTAAGACTGCTGGTTTCTCTTGAATTTCTAGCCATGTTTCATCCAAGTGGGGCACCTTATTATTCCTCATATTTCACTCTACACATGAATTCTGGCAGCAGCCTTAAACAGAATCATTTCTTTCTTGAATGTCATCCAGTATCCTATAGCTGCCTAAGGTGCCTCATTGGCGAACAGCCAGATTTTAGAAAAAAAGGCCCGTGCCAAAAATAAACTGTACACAGAGTCTTACTGAAAACTAACGGTCTAGTCAGAAATGAGCAGCCAACTAATAAGAAAAAGTGCGACATGCTTAGTTTGGTCACGTATTACTCTGACAAATGCATTCCTGTTGCTGAAACTACTGGAAGCTACCAAGCTGTTGGAAGGTAAACTTCAAAATCAATAAATCTGAAACAAGAAACCTTAAAAACTGGAACCATCAAGGCTCCTTCACTCTCTGAATGCTGAACATCTGAGGCAGAGACAGGATATGAACGTTGAAAGAGCCAGGATACTCTCTCTTTCCCCTCTTACTCCCTCACTGACTGGGGTATATTCTCAGCTGCCCAGGTAATTGGCAAAAGGCCTAAGGGTAGCTTTACACATGACAACATTCCCATAGGGAGTCACCTGGGTCAGGAATTCATGTGAATTCTGTGGGTGAATTATAATATCCATACATGTACAAAGTGAGTTGTGTCTATACGTAGGCTTTGTCACATGTGATCTATGAAACTCCCTGTATATTCAGGGGACAGGTGGCCCTCCAGATACTGCTGTGGCACTGCAGTTTCCACCAGTGCCAGACAGTCCAGAGTTGGAGGTCAACAACAGTGGGAGGGGTTATTTCCCCACTCTGCCCGTCCTACGTGTGCAAGAGATTCCCAAGAGGGAATTTTCACGATGTCACATGCCTATGTGCCATTTCAGAAGTTGGGATTTAATGCATAGCGTTTAAAGCAGAGCTGAAAAGTACCCCCTTCCAGATCCTTAAATCACGTAGTAATTAAATTCATGAAGTCTGCCAGGAAACATTTATTTAAATTTATAATCCACGAAATTCCTTCATGTCAGGATGATCAAGAGAATCCCTACCTTTCAAGTTCACACTGGTTTAGAGTGATTACTAGACTTGAAACTCCCAAAGCTAGAATAAGGAAGGCCTTTCCCCCCAACCACCCCAGTATTGCAGTCAACAAAAGATCACTACCACCAGGCTGCTGAAAGTATTTAAGGTGCACTCTGCAAGTCATCATAAAGGTTAGGGAGAGAGAGAGAGACAAACAGCTTTTTGCATTCTTGCAGAACATTATGATGAACTATGATTCTCTACCCGCTACAAGATATGTACTTATGTGTATGTTCAGCCACCTGTAGGGCCAGAAGAAAATGTTATAGATAGCCCGTGTTTAGAACACAAAGCACATTAATGCTGGAAAAACATGACAGAGGTAACCTTTCATTTGTGAAATCAAGCTTCAAGGGTATCCCCCATGGTTAAGTCCTAAAGATCACTGAATACAAGCTAATTTCCATTCTCGCAAAATGAGAGAAACACCTGCCATGATACTTAGACACTTCTATTAATTAAGGGTCTTCCTGTTCCAGTCATAGCCTAATTCTATGTCTGATTCTATGTCTCACATGCAACAAACAAACAAAATGTACATATAATTACTTCCATGGAGCAAATATTTGTTGAATATCACCTTGCTAAAGCATTTGCTGAGTGATGTGAAAGCACACATTTATTCCACTATAAATGAGGTTTTTAAAGGAAGTTCTCTTAATTGGTGTAGAGAAGCTTGCAGTATTATTTTTAATAAGCAACCATATTTTCACATAACCAACCACTTCCCCAATTTTAAAAACATAATTTTTAAAAAAAGAGGTAGAAGTTCTTCTGATAGCAAAAACAGGCATGTGTGTTAATCTGTTAATTGACTTTAGCCAATAGGTAAAGGTAAAGGTTCCCCCTTGACATTTAGTCCAGTCATGTCCGACTCTAGGGGGCAGTGCTCATCCCCGTCTCCAGGCTGTAGAGCCAGCATTTGTCCATAGCCAGTTTCCATGGTCACGTGGCCAGTGCGACTAGACACAGAACGCCATTTCTTTCCCACTGTGGTGATACCTATTTATTTACTCGCATCTGCATGCTTTCAAGCTGCTAGGTTGGCAGGAGCTGGGACAAGCGACGGGAGCTCACTCTGTCACGTGGACTCGATCTTACAACTGCTGGTCTTCTAACCTTGCAGCACAGAGGCTTCTGCGGTTTAACGCACAGCGCCACCACATCCCTACTTTGAAAGGTACTATTAGCCATTAGTACCTATCAAAGTCAAGCTGCAAAGTATGTAGTTCTACTGTAATGATCTTGTTACGCTTTGGGATTCTGATCCAGATTTTTCAAAGTACTGTACAGTTTGTAAAGTCTGGACAACTGAATTGACAAAAGCATCTGGGAAGATGCATTCAACCCACACAAATAAAAAAGGCAAGGATGTTCAGTAGGCAAAGACATTCCTATAAAGCTGTTCTCTGTGCCCAAACTGAAAAATGGTGCCACAGAAGAATTAGCACTCTGTAGGAAACACTCAGGGAGGGTTCTGCTCTTAAGAGCTCTTGTTAACTGGCATCATGGTGATCTAATGGGAGGGAGGGGAGCAAGAAGATGAGCATGCATGGAATGGCAGCGACCGCTTCATTCACAATCCTTCAACAGGCTCAGCACAGAGAGCAAGACAATCTAGTTGGCCACAGATGTTTTCCAAAATGTGCCCCTGAGAGGTGACCCAGGAATGCCAAGAGCTGCATCCAAGCATCTGTCCAGCCCTTTTCATGAAACTGCCAGAAAGGTCAAATTACTTCACTGGCATCAGTGAGTGCTCTGATCTTAATATTTTCTGGCACCTGATGGGTGCTGCTGCACACTGGATTGTCACTTCCCCACACTGTAGTTTGGGGGCACTTGAAAATGATAAAAATACCCACTAATAACTCTCAGTAGAGCTTTGCCACTGGATGTGACCTAGTGCCAAGAACACAATTCCCTATCTCCTTGCTGGAGGAACAAATGCCACAGAACACAGCTACAACCCCAAAATGGTGTACGTGCAAGTTTCAGCCCTATGTGCCAAGACAGACGAGAGGGGTCACTTTTATGAAGCATTCTTCATGAAGCAGGGGAAGAGGAAAATACCTTTATTTCCATTGTTTATCCACTAGATTTAGTAAATATATTGGTTTGGGGAATGGGCTCTTGCAGAGTGGGGAACGATCTTCAGTGACTGAGTCACTACACTCCCCAGGAGAAAAACAGCTGCATAGTTCTGTATGGAATGAATGAACCCCACGGATCATCAAGCTCATGCATCACATCCCTTCTTCAAATACTGTCATCCAGGACTTCTCATCTGGCTTTAGTGAGAAACCACAGATTGACACAATGTTTGAAAAGCCAAACTATAGTTTACGCTGCTCTGCAAACTACGACTGTGTGATTCTTTGGCTATTCAGATGTCAAGGCAAACTAGGATCTGTCGGCAAACCAGCGTTAAAGGTTCTGGGCTGTGATAGAGAGGAGAAGGAGGAAGGAGGGGGAAAGGGTACATGAACCCAATTTCCCTTGTCTGTTCTCCAGGAAACTGGCATGCCATGGTTTGGTATTATGCGTGACCACAGCCACCTCAAAAGGTACTTGCATTTCTCCAACATTTTTGTTGCCTTTTACATTTCATGCAAGGGAAACCCATGTACACTGTACAGCATCTTTCCTAGAAGAATGAGACAGTGTTTGAGACTCTCGTTAGAAATGTTGAATATTCTGAATGTCAAGTGTTAGCTTTGAGAAAAAGAGTGGGAGAGATGTGTTATGTTATATTCTGTCATTTAAGAATATTTATATCTGTGGCATGGTTCTAACAAAAATAATTTCAGTGCAGTCAGGTCACCACATGGCTTTTTTACCATATGAACCAGTTTGGCCTTTGGATCAAGTGGATTATGCAGAACAAGGGAAGGCAAATTCCACCCCCTTGGGGATCAGCCACGGGCTGTACCAGTCACCCACAACAGGGGGAAATCCACTTGTGATTTTGAAATGCTACTTGTTGGGGTAGGTAGATAAAACAAAGTGTGAGGGAGGCAGTGAGTTGTTTTAAAGGAAAATTGCTCTCCTCAAGGCTTCTGGAAGTGGCAATTCACTTTTGGTGGAGGGGGGCGCTGAATTTTGGTGCAGCCACTGTTTTACTTTTATTGTTGACTCCCAGAGAGGAACCACAAAGAGCAGAAGACTCCCACGGGGTGCAACATTCATTCAGCTCCTCAGAATTATGGACAAGCTGACCCACTTGAAAGTGAGATTTAAATGTAATGATAGACCTGCAAAGCTCCAAGCACACTGGGGTCATTTTTAATGAAAACTATGTTCCACAGACTAAGGTCTGAAGTGTCTGTACTTGAAGTTTAAAACTAAATACGCTGTAGCCCTAAAGTCATTCTCACAAAATCATTTAGCCTTTTGAGCTTATTTGACCATGACTGCTGAGCAATAACATACTAAAAACTATCAGGGTCTCAGCGTGTATTTCTTCCTTCTTTCCCTGACTGAATGGAGTCACTCCTGCAACTGGGTCATCTTTACCCAAACAGTTCTCCAGGCGTAACAGCCCCTAAAGTCACTTCAAGCTCCCATTTCTTTAGGCTGAAAGGCAGAAACAGGGACTGAGCAAAATCAAGAGAGTCAACAGCCCCTAGCAAGATTGGAGCTGCTGTTTCAGCTCCCTTGCAAGCCAGAATATGTTTAAGCAATGACAGTGTGTGTTATTTCTTTGGGGTGTTCAGCAGTTCCACTGAAAAGCACAGTGCCCAGCCATTCACTTAAGAAAGTAGAAAAGACCCAGTCCCTGGACTGCCAATGCTGAAGTCTAAAATCTCATCCCTGCAATAAAAATGTGGTTTAGGAGAGAAAGAAAGGGGGAAAGAGAGGGAGTGAGAGAATAAACAAACATAACTGGAACCCAGAGCAAACACTGCAAGGGGAATGGTTGGAAAATTCAAATGGCATGACAAACCCGCTAAAATGCAATGGCAACATTCAGTCCCAGTTCCTGTCACACAGAAGACAACACGGATGCTAATAATCACTTCAGCTTATTCCAGTCCCCTAACACTCTCCCCTACCCCCCATGCTTCACTTCACACTGAGGTATGTCCTGTTGTTTTAACAAATGCCTTTCCAGTGCTGTAGCTAGCAGAACAGCAAACCGTGCACTTCCACAGGGAAATGTTTCCTCCTTCTTAAATCACTGGAATCACATCTTCCGTTAACCATGCAACTCAGATGACTGATCTTAACTGGGCCAGGTTTCTGAGCAACAAATGATGGGCAGGGATGAAGTTTGGACTTACTGAAAAAAGTCAAAAGACTTGCCAGGATTCAAATCGTTACATATGTCATCCTTTCCTATGGAGAAATATCTCACGCCCTAAGAACCTTGGCCACTGATGACTTCACAGGGCATCTTTTTTCTTCAACATTTTTAAGGAACATATGTCGTCCGTCCCCCCCTTTAGTTTCCCATCAATTCTGCAAATGAAGCCAACCTTGAAAATAAGGTTTTATAAAGCCTTCCTGTCAACTTTTATCACTGTGTATTCTGCCCACAGGAACATTCCATTCTTAAGATGACTTCACTCACTATTAATTGCTTGATCTACCCAGGAGCAACTTTTAACAAAAGGAAACATTGCCGCAACTGTAATTTTAAGAATCACAACACAAAGAAATGCTTCCCACCCTCTCTTTTGCTTTCTGACATTTCTTTCTTGTCTCTCGCTGTAATGGGCTCTTTGCTAGCTTCAGCCTCTTAAAAATGGCTTCAGTGCAGCTACTGCTGTGGAAAGCAGGCACCGTGTTTACATCTGGAAAACATGAGGCAGACCCCCTTTGCACAGATTCTCTCTCCCCTTCCTTCCCTGGCCCTGTGCTGCTCCTTGCACTGATGCCTGGATCACCATAGCAACTGGACAGGGGAATCATCTCTGAGGGATTCTACTTACCGTAAAGGTGGTCTCCTTGTTCTGCTTTCGAGTAGGTGATGGAGACCCAGGACTCTGAGGAGAGAGGCAAGAGGCATCATCATAGCTGCACTCTACATCCGACATAGTAAGTATTTTGAGGGACTGTCTATGTTTGTGTGTGTGTGTGTGTGTGTGTGTGTGTGTGTGTGTGTGAGAGAGAGAGAGAGAGAGAGAGAGAGGGAGGGAGGGAGAGAGAGAGTTGGTGATGGTAGTGGTTGTGTTATTTGGCTGCAGGCAAGCCAAATCGGTAGAGATTCCTCTTCTGCTTTGCTTTCCCGCTCAGCTTTTTCCCATGTCCAGAGAGGTGCCACAGCCTGACAGCTGAACTCTTCCAAGGGAGACTCCTGCACTGTGCTCACGAAGCAGCACACACACGTTCTGCACAGCCCGATTCATCTGAAAACACAGTGACACCTCCCCTTCCAATCAGTGCCTAGCTTTGGAATTAACCCCTCAACTGCATGCCAACTCTGGAGCAGGGCTCCTTCGTCACTCTGCCAGAAGAGTTTGTGCAAACTCCACTTCTACTTTATGTTTCACAGTTGCTGTACATTTTGGTTTCCCTTGGGCTCAGGTCAGATTGCAGCTAAAGTTATCTCATCCACTCCTTCATTCCAGCTTTAAAAACCCAGGCACTGGAAGTGAGGGGAAGCCTCTGCAGTGATATTAATGCAAGCCTCCCTAAGATTTCTCTCTGCCCCATCAGCAGCTTATTGAAAGCATTGGAAACCATCACCAGTATCATATTTGATTTGTATTCCTGCACTGAGCATGGGGTTGGACTTGATGGCCTTATAGGCCCCTTCCAACTTCATGGTTCTATGATCAAAGCACTGAAGCGACCCAAAAGAAAGTCATCATATGCAGTAGTCTATCAAGGGGTCAACAGGCACATGTTTAAAGCATGTATCTGGCATGCTGCACACACTGATGGCTACTATGGAACAGTGAATCACATAAATGGAATTTTGCTGCACCTTTAATTATAACCTTCTTGGCTTTATTTACAAAGGTTTGTAATCCTGACCACAGTGCCACTTGCATAGTACCAAAATGAACAATCTTGCACACTATGCTGTGCAATAGTGGATGGGGGGGGGAAGCAAAGCACATCAAGGGTAAACAGAGCCTAACAACCTCATCTTTCAAAGGGGAGGGAAAACTTGTTCCCCTAAACTATCTGTTACAAATGAAAGTCCCCTCAAGTTTCTTTTCAAGAGCACTCAAAATAAAAAAATATGGCCAGATAGAACGGATACTACTGTTTCTTTAGGCTCCACTGTTGAAGGCAGCTCCCTAAGAATCCACTCTGTATGTGCTGTGGGTCCAACCTGAATGCACAGCGCTTTGCTCTTATCTCTCTAGGCCCCTGGTGCACAGGTCCAACCTGAATGCACGGCACTTTGCCCTTATCTCTCTAGGCCCCTGGTGCACAGGTGCTATCCTTCTTCTTTAAAACATACTCGTATAAATAATTGAAGCAGGGCCTCTCCTGTGTCTATTCTTGCATTTCTTAACTCCAAAGATGTTTCTTGCTGATCCAGTGTGTGAAAATGAGCCCCGCTCCACAAGATGCTCTGATCTCCTGCTGACAAGGTAAGCTTCTTCTCCCCCCCCCCAAATAACATTCCTTGTTTGCCTTAGCTGTCTGTGCACAAGCAGAAAAAGTCTGCCCCAAACAGCAGGTTGGCGTCGGTCCAACAACAACATGAGAGCCGGCTGCTATTGCCAGTGGGAAGAACTGTGTAAGGAAGAACTCTAATCGCCACTCTCTTTCCCTCTCAGAAATTATTCTGTTCCCCTATGCGCTTCAGCTGTAAGGAAAAAAATGAAGCGGCTTCAAAGCTCTCCCCCTCTGTGCAATGCACTTTCACGCTTAATAAAGTACAAGGTTCAGTGGCAAATCCCAAATCTCTATGGTTCTACATAACCATGTTGTCTCGGTTAACACAAGTATCTTAAATTCACTGGGTCTTAATTAATTAGCCAAGGGCATCACCTTCTCAGAGTTGCTCAGCTCCACACTCCCCAGGCATCCCACTAGGCTGGGTCTCTTTTCTCCACTAAGCACATCTCTATTCTCCACTGGGCATGCCTGAGTCCAACAAACACCTGTTCTGAGGGCAGGTTTGCCCTCTCCGTCGTCTGCTTAGGCAGCCACTGTTGAACATGAGGTCCACAAATAAAACCAGGCCCTCAGAGATATTCTCTCTGTGGACCCATCAGCCATGCCTCCCAATAAGGCTAGGAAAGAATAGCAACAAGCTGAGAGCCCCTTGCACCAAGGCAATGCCCTCCTGTCCCAGGCACGTCATCATCTGCTGTGAAGCAAGAGCCACAGAGGCCACACCGGGCTCAGCCAAAAGATGTCAACAACGCAATGTCCAGGCCTCTCCGAAGTGTGGCAGCCTGGCGAGACATGTGTTAAGGGAAGGGATGGGGGGGGGGGGAATCTCTCTTCAGCTAACTTGACCAACCCCCATAAATACATCTGTGTACAACTGATGAAATAATTCCTGAGGCACAGGAGGAGAACAGTGCTGTTGTTAGGCAGCACAGAAAAAGCAGAGAAGATGCCAGAACATGACTCCCATGGCAGGTCGGTTCTATTCAGATGTTTATTGTAGAGATGGCAAAGACGATATGCAAAGAAGTGTTAGTCGTCCTCCTCTCTTCAGGAGGTATCTTGTTAAAAGGAAAGCAGATGAATCCAGTTCCTCTCTCTCCTTCCACTATGGGAACTCTGGAGATTTTCTAGACAGGTACTACGGCCTCTTCCTTTAAAAAGGAAGTCATATGATTCCCACATCCTATGCAGGAGACAATCCTCTGCCCTCAGAAACATTATCCAAATAAAAGTAGAGAAAAGGATCCACTTGCTGTGCCACTTCCTTTCTCAGGAAGATGACTGCAAGCAGCAGGTGACCTCCTGTGCATTGGGGCACCGTGTCCTTCTCTTTTTCAGACCAAAGTTTCTCTCCAAGGGTCAGCCTCTCACCCATATACCAATCTATGCCCACTGCCATTCTTAACATGCTTCAAGCAGCAAAAGTAAAACTCCTGTCTACAGTCATGGCTAAAAATATTGGCACCCTATCTACAGTCATGGCTAAAAATATTGACACCCTTGCAATTTTGTCAGAAAATGCAAACCTTCTCTCAGAAAATTGTTGCAGTTGCAAATGTTTTGGTACTCACATGTTAATTTCTTTACTTTGCATTGGAACAATACAAAAAAATGAAAAAAAAAGTCAAATATGATACAATCCCACACAGAAACGCAAAAATGCACTGGCCAAAATTATTGGCACCCTTAACTTAATATTTGGTAGCACCCCTTTTAGAAAAAGTAATTGAAATCAATCGCTTCCTGTAACCATGAATGAGTCTCTTACACCTCTCTACTGGAATTTTGGACTACTCTTCTTTTGCAAACTGCTCCAGGGCCTTCAGATTTGAAGGATGCCTCCTCCCAAGTGTAGTTTTGAGACCTCTCCACAGGTGTTCTATGGGATTCAGATCTGGACTCATTGCTGGACATTTCAGAACTCTCCAGCGCTTTGTTTGTAACCATTTCTGAGTGGTTTTTGAAGTGTGTTGCGGGTCATTGTCCTGCTGGAAGACCCATGACCTCTGGTGGAGATGCAGCTTTCTGACACTGGCCACTACGTTGCGCCCCAAAATTCTTTGGTAAACATCAGATTTCATGAAACCGTTCACACAGACAAGGCATCCAGTGCCAGAAGCAGCAAAGCAACCCCAAAACACCTTTGAACCTCCACCATGTTTGACTGTAGGGGTTGTGTTCTTTTCTTTGAATGCGTTACTTCTTTTTCTGTAAACAGTGCCATGATATCCTTGACCAAAAAGCTCTACTTTTGTCTCATCTGTCTACAGTATGTTATCCCAGAAGGATTGTGGTTTTGTCACATAAGTTTTGGCATACTCCAGTCTTGCTTTTTTATGCCTTCGTGTCAACTGTGGTGTCCTCCCGGGTCTCCTACCATAGCATTCCTTTTCATTCAGATGGCGAGAAATAGTGCGAGCTGACACTGTTGTACCCTGTGTCTGCAGATCAGCTTGAATTTGTTGGGAAGCTAATCTGGATTCTGTATCCACCATTCGAACAACCCTTTGTTGTTATTTTTTAGTAATTTGGCTCTTCTGTCCACGTCCAGGGAGGTTAGCTACAGTGCCATGGGCTGTAAACCTCTTGATGATATTTTGCACAGTGGACACAGGAACATTAAGATCTCTGGAGATGCACTTGTGGCAATGTTTTTCCACAATTGTTTCTCTCAAATCCACAGACAACTCTTTACACTTCATTCTTTTCTCCATGCTCAGTGTCACACACAACACATACGCTGAGTCAACTTTTGTCCATCTTAACTGGTTGCAAGTGTGATTACTATATTGCCCACAACTCTTACTTGCAACAGGTGTCTCTAAATACCAAGGAGCATCACATGCTTGAAAAGCAATTCTTTCTTACAATTTCTTACAATTTTGACCAATGCATTTTTGGGTTTCTGTGTGGGATTGTATCAGATTTGACTTTTCTTCTCTTTTTTTGCGTTGTTCCAATGCAAATCAAAGAAATGAACATGTGAGCACCAAAACATATGCAGCAACAACAATTTTCTGAGAGAAAGATTGCATTTTCTGAGAGATTTGCAAGGGTGCCAATATTTTTGGCAATGACTGTATATGTCCGCCATTTTACATTCAATCTAAACCCACAAACACTATGTACTGAATAGTGTTAAAGATTAAAAGAGTGCCAAGTGCTGGAAATCTAAAATTCTCCTCTGCAAATAGGGCCTCTTTTTGGCGACAGTGCTAAGGAAAGAAGACAAATAAAAAGGCTGAGTGGGAAAGGAGAAGAGCCTCAGGGCTCACAGTCTACAAGGCCAGCAGAGCGTTTTTACCAGGTTCTTAATGTTCTCAGATATGACCTGCTGACTCAAACGTGACTCAGCAGACTAAAAGCAACTTTTTCTGAACCATCACCATGTAACAAATAATTGCACTATCAGGACCTGGTTTTCTCATGTGACATTCTGCAATTCTTTCTAGTGAGTTTGCAAGCAAGGCGGGAGTCAAATACATACTCACACCTCAGTAACTTGCATCTCAAGAGACAGTGGCTAGCATATTGGGTTTGTATAAGGCAGGGATGGGCAAACTCTGACATGTTGGCAATACAGCCTCCCCCAGCAAAGAAAATTTCCCCAGTGCCTTATGCAATCATGAAAATATGGTGGGTGTGCTTCTCACAAATTGACAGAAAATGGCTTTTCCACTCCTCAAAAAAAGTGATGGTTTTACTTTAGGCAGGAGTCTCCCAAACCCTCGCCCCAAACCCAGAAAATCAAAAGGGGCAGTGGCAAACTGCATTAATTCCTCTCCCCTTCCTTGTATTTTCAGACATTTTCAGCCCATGTGGGTGCTGGTGAGGAAAATTGGCCCATGAGAACTACCAAACATGCCCACCCTTGATATAAGAGGAATTCGGGTTCAACTCCAAATTCAGCCTGTATACCTCACATGGGCAAATATATAGCAACCTGCCATCCATCTGCCAAGTGTCATTCACAAAGCTGGTGTGAGTGTGTTACTCTACACAGATCTCTGGAGGAAGGGTGGGATAAAAATGAAATAAATGTTATTAGCTACAAACACAGCTGGAATATATTGTGTTTGAGGTGACGTCAGCTGATATGAATGTTTTGTTTGTGGTGTTTGATTTGTGAGAGGGTGGGGTTTTTTACATATACGAGAGAGCTCTAGATATTACACTCATGAGCAGAGGTGTGTGGGCTTCCCTTGAGGAGATTTTCTGCTTGAAATGCCTCAGTTTGAGATGTTGCTGATGTAAAATGGGGACTGGGAGAAAGCTTTGTTAGATACCAACAATGCATCCTAGTCAACACATCTTTTCCACTGAATTTACAGATACAGGAAATGCAAAAATCAATGCAGGCATCATTTATGAAACTGGCCTGCATGACTCCTTAATGTACAAGGAGCTGCAGAGAAGCAAATGCCAGCCAGGTGCAAGGATGGGACTTACAACTCACAAATGACCACTCAAGACCCTCTGGTTCAGGCCAAAGAAGTGACAAAGAGTTCATATCCTACTGTGACAATTGCATCTGAAAGAAGAAAGAGAGGCTGAGAAACTGGTGGCAAAGCCTCTTTGCAGACTCCTTGCTCTGAAATGACCAAAGGTATTTAAACATGCAAGGATGTCCGCCCAAAAGATGGAACACTACATTCACCCAAACACACAGGTTCTTCATAATGCAGCTACATCTGGCTGTTATGTCTTACATTTTCAGACACACAGTGAACTTGAAACAATTTCTGTATTCCACTGGGAGCTGCTAATGAGCGGTATTTAAAAACACGGCTGGGAGCTACAGTGAACTGTTTTGAACAGTAGTCAGACTGTTCAGAAATTCTGCTGCAAAGATCAACCCTGTTTGGTCCTGGGTTTTTACAATTAGTAAAGAAATGGTAAAGAAAGTTATCCACCTAGGTCCCATGCAGTGACATTCTGGATGGCTAAGTGTCTCTTGCCAGTATTACTATACTGGCTGAAACGATAACATATACATTTCTACAAAGTTTATGGCCTAAAGATGAGTTCCAAAGGGAGAAAATGTATGGTAGTAGGTACTGGCTCCAGAAATTTACTGGTGACCTAGAACGAGACTTCACAAGCTGACCTACCTCACAAGGCTATTATGAGGATAAAGAGGAGAAGAGAAGAGCAATGTTGTTAAATGTTACTACTAATAATGCTATCATTACATGCTGTCAAGTTGGAACCAACTTATAGCAAACCTAATAGGGCTTTCAAGGCAAGTGAGATTTTTAAGGAGTGGTTTTAGCAATAACAGTGTTCCGTGTCCAGTTGTGCTAGCCACATGACCATGGAAACTGTCTACGGACAAACGCTGGCTCTAGGGCTTGGAAATGGGGATGAGCACCGTGCCCTAGAGTCGGACACAACTGGACTAAATGTCAAGGGGAACCTTTACCTTAAGCAGTTCCACTCCTTAAAATCTCACTTTTTCCTGTGCGTTGTTGTGTGTTTCTATGGCTGAGTGAGGATTCAAACCGAGACCTCACAAGTCCTAGTCCAGAATTCTATCTACAACACCACACTAGGTGTCCACTAATAACAGCAATTAATAATAAATAAAGATTCAACAAATATTTTGTTGAGACAACTTAAAGCTTCTAATACTCTCAATGTGTTCTCATGTACTGAGGCAGAAAGTGTTCCCTTCACCCTGCATTGAACACTACATGGAATTTATTCACAAGACTTGATCAGAGTCCTGTAAGATTTAAGAAACAATGATTGTATAACAAAGGCCATGCTGATGTCCCACAAAACAAGCACAAGCAGCTGGAATAGAACCACCAATAGGAAAGCAACTCATTCCAATTAAACCTTTACAAAGAGACAAACACATTTCGTGACCAGCCTGACGAAATGATCACAAATGGCTAAAGCTGAGAAAGATCCATTAAATTCCTTGTTTCCAAAGATAAAAATTGCAGCCATAGACAGAGAGAGAGGATAATCAGAAATACAAGAACTCTGAGATTCAAGGCACAGCAGCACAACGGTAAAACGTTTTTAAGTGAAAGATATGGCATCCTCCCACAGAAATCTCTACCAGCACTGTTTTTAAGAAGCATAAATCCTTCTTTCTTCTGTGCTTACCTGGGGATCATTGCCAACTTTGCGGAAACTCATGTGGCTGGATTCTAGTTGGGGCACCAGGGTCCCTGGTATGTGATACCCATTTACTGTGAAGAAGAGAGAAAAACACTGAGGAGCTGATGCAATCAGGGCTGTAACTAGGGCGAGGCAGTGAATGAATGAATGAATGAATGAATGAATGAATGAATGAATGGAAAATACAATTAATGACTCTGATTAAGCCTCAGCCTACTGCAAATCTTTAAAAGGTAAGAGAGGTTGGGATGGAATGTCTTTTGTAGGGAGTACAGGACTGGTGAAAATGAGGATTGTGTAGACAGGGGAAAGATCCTCCAAGGAGAGTTCAAGGAGCATTCAACATTCTTCTGTCTCTTGAGGCCCTTCAGGTTGCCCACTCGCTGACATGCCAATCCTCTCTGGCGCCCTCTTGGTGCCATGTCACTCATCCTCTCCAGGAGGAATCTGCTATCCTCTAGCTATCACACTACGGAGGCGTTGCCAGAATCTCGCACCCTGCCCATTCGTTGGCACTGGCAAGAGGGAGGCGTGAGGATAAAAGGCAGACCCGAAAGGCAGGGAAACAAGCGAGGGAATCTGTGGGGCCCAAATCACACGGAAGGAAAGAAAGGCATGACAAATGGAAGGGAAAGGAGCGGGGAGAGTCTAGAAAGGAAAAAGCCCCTCTCCCAGGCAGGCAAGGCGGAGCAAGGCAGTTATGGTTCCCACATCCTAGGGTTTGCAAAGTGGCACTTATCTCCCAAGAGCACTTGGGCAGCAGCCTGCACTGAGACTTAGCAGCAAGGGAAGAGGCAAATCCAGCTGTTTTCCCTACAGTGTAATGGGGAAGACGAGAGTGTGTGGGTGGCTACAACTGATTTAGTGCATGCACGCATACTTTGTACTCTCACTGTTCAAGGACCAGCTGGCAAACAAGTTTCAGCCTCCTCACTTCCCCTCCCTGTCATCAGGGTTGGCCGAGGGAGAGAGAGCCAGGGAGTGGGGGGGGCAAAGGCCAGGTGAGGCAGGGGGACCAGCAGCTACTGCCTGCCCACAGAGAGGCAAAATCCTGTGAGTCAGCCAAGGGTGCTGACATGCTGGGGGCTGTGCCTCAGCTGAATATAAGATGGCAAATATAGGTAAGATGGCCTCTTGGCCATCTTCGAGTCTAACCTTACTTCACGAGTTGCTGCGGGGTAAACTAGAAGTTGAGGGTGATTATAATCTCTTTAGGGATTGTCCACCACAAATAAGAAATTAATGGGAAAGCTGACAAAGTTTTTTGTTGTTGTTGTTGAGGTGGGGTTTTCACAGCCTAGAGCCGAATATGTTCGGCTAATTGCTGCAGGTTAAGTTACTGCTTAGGAAAAATTACAGAGGCTTTTTCCAAAGGTTGGCAAGCCTTTGCATAGCAAAATGGGATTTATATTGATTCTCAAGTTGATTAGTATATATGCTTTGAAAGCACAGGAGATTGAAAGTCTTCTCTGGCTGTTTGGCAGCCATCTCTTCACATCCTTTTTTTAAATTTTTTTTTTTTTTTTTTTTGCAAATTTCCAACATTTTAAAAAAATAGTATTTGGAATGGCAAGTGCTACTCTTTGAATTTAAAAAGAATTCTAAACTCTTAGTGAGCTCAGCAAGCAAGTACCATGGTCCTTGGGATTTGGGAGCCTGTTTACTGCCACTCTGCATACTTACATATTTATTAAATTAAATTATAAAGTTGTTCTTAATAAAACTTTTCATGCCAGTGCAATAAAAAGGTTACAAATACCATGAACTACTGGATAGCTCATTGGTTTAGGTATCTGGCTATAGATCCAGAAGTTGGGAGTTTGATTCACCACTGTGCCTCCCAAACAGGGACTGGACATGACGATCCATAGGGTCCCATCCAGCTCTGCCATTCTAAGATTAACATCATGCTTGGCCTACTTTTCAACTTTGCTGGCCACCTTCATTTTATTTGAGCCACCCCAAGTCAAAGTTTCTTATATGTGAAGCTGCTTCTGTGCTTAAGGAGTTAATGGTGGAAGGCAGAGGAGAGTTAAAGGGAGAGACAGGTGGTTGTCAACCATAATTTAAGATTTATCACCTAGCCTAGTGGTTCCCTTGGGTAACCCAGGTGTTCTTGGACTGTAATGCCCAGAAACCCTGGCCAGCACAGCTAATGATGAAGGCTTCTGGGAACTGCAGTCCAAGAACACCTGAGTTACCCAAGGTTTGGAACCACTGACCTAGCCTCTTTCAGTGCTTAAAAAATAAATAAATCAAAGATTGCATAGGGGATCAGTGTGAAAACCGTTAATGGTTTTGCTGATGGCCAAGAGGTGGCTCACTGGAGTACAGAAACATTCAAACATATATTCTTCAACAGCCATAATTCTGCTGGAAGGAGGAAGGACAGTGCGGGAGCCTATAAGCATCATTTTCCTGATCTAGTTAAGAGAAATGGCACAGGTACTTTCTCACTTGGCACGGTATGCCATACAGAACATAAAATACTGAAGACACTGTGTGATTTCTTTTGGGACCTTTGTCACACATGATTCAGAGCTTGGGAGAGTTATGTTTTTTTTTATTACAGCTCCCGGAAAATCCCAGCTAGTGTTGTTTATTTCCCAAGCTAACTGGGGGACCTGGGGCAATACAGTCCAAAAACCGTAACTTTTCTAAGCTCTGGGATGATCTGTTCCATACCTGTAGGCAAGGAGTTCTTCTGGGTCACAGGGCTCTTGGGGGTTCCAGGCACACTGCTGGGTCGCTCCCAAGTAGTCTCTGTTTAAAACAAAACCAGAATTACAGTGAGTGCACTCAGAATCTCCAGCAGACACAAACTCTAAAAACATCCAACCTAATCAGATAAAAGGTTAACTCCTGAGCTGTGATGATTATTATATAACGCTTCTATCCTGCCGGAGAGAAAGGTATCACTTTGAAACAGGCCCAGATGGCAGCTTTCCTCTTGGGCAGTCTTCACACTTCCTGGAGGACGCTGGTCCGCACAGACTCCATGGCTCCACTGCAGCTCCTGTGCCAAGTGTGCAAAACAGCATCACCTCTGCACTTGAAGGCCGCAAAGAAGCCATGAAGGCTGAGAGAACATGCCTGAACTCTACCACTGGAACTACGTGGATGCGCCTTTTAAATCTTATTCTCAGAAAAGCCGTATACCCAAGTCTTTGAGCTTCCTGCGCAAGCCGTGACACAGCTCTGGAATATGCAGGTGTAAACAGCACCTTGAGAACACGCAGAGTACCTTTCCTTCACCATTCATTGACTCAGGTGCTGACACACAGAAAAAGGGCTACCGGAAGAGTGAGCAATCAAAAGCTCTTACCCTATAACTGCTGCTAGTCAAAAGAAACCACAGCACATCCACTGGCATAAATGGCACCAGCAGCCAGCTCTGTTTCCTAATACACTTCTTTCTTTTAGAGCACATTTCCTCCTACTTTGAAGGTACATCAGTTCAACGGGAAAATGTGCTGGCAAGAACACGGTGAGCAGAACGGCCCCTGACTTTATTTAGCTATTTGAACATTAAGAGCGACAACCGCCTTCTTCGCTGCATTTCGCAGCCATGCCAGGCAATGCACTTCATGACACATGAGCAAAAACTAGCCAAGGTGCCGCCCCCCCCCAAAAAAAAGCAAGCAAGCAAACCAGCAGACAAGAGTTGCATGCTCTCAAAGGGTAATCACAGCTAGCACAGCATCTCCGGCAGTAGGTGGTGCTGTAAGTTTGAATTAGCCTCAAGATTGCAGCTCTGTTCAGAGGCCTTACCACAGACTCGAACTTGGTTGCTAGCCTGCATGTGACGCACTGCTGCTCTCTTTTTATGACTACAGGTACAAGATCATTCAAAGGACTGTACCTCCTGTCTTTACCCTGAGAATGTGACTGCTGTTTAGCCATGTTCATCAGGTCAAGCACCACAAGCTGCCAAGCACCAAGCTAATGCTTCCATGGAAGAAAGAAGACTGAAGGACGCCTGGCACAGAAAAGGAGACTGGAAAAGTCGGAAAGAGGATGCGCCTCTGGGCCAAATTTCACAAGTACAGTATAGCTTTAGGCGAACTGAATCATGGGATTTTTCAAGCATCAAGACATGGATGAGGAGAGGAAAAACAGTAGGTAATAACATCCCCAAACTACACAACAAGCACTTGGGACACCTTGTCACCAGCCACAGCCACATAAAAGGCTCACTTCTTCCTCTTCCTACTGTTTTTCTACATAGATTCTTCTTGTTGTTCCTAATTATTTTGGTTTTTATATATATTCTGCTTCCCTAACACTCAATGACAAGTTTGATCTGTGTGCCGTTGGTTTTATAGAACAGCAGTGCTTCCAAACTTTACATCTCCTAATGAAGAGCCTTTCCATAACATGCATAAATGCAGAACACTGGGCAATTCACGTTTGATTCTGACACACTATTACGATTCATTTTCTCGAAGTTCTACTTCCGGGATATTAGTTTTCTGGTACAATGTGGAGAACACCTCAGGTATTCACACAACCTGCAGAATCAGATGACGTCGGGCTCCTTCCCTTCCCAAATTGCACTAGGGTTGTAGTGGAGTGAATAGGAGTAGCCATAATTCATCATAACTCACAATAATCTTGCTTAGCATTCTGGTCTCATTAGGAAAATCTGTATTTCACATGGTGACGGGTTCTCCACAAGGACAGTGCAGCCCATCTGGCAAGACATGAGTAGTCTAATAGAGCACAGCCATACAAACTAGTAACCAAAGACAAATTCCACACGTCACCACCAAACCTGACACAGCTCTCTAAAATACTGTACTAACACAATCTTGCTTGACTGTAGCACTTTTTCTTAAAAGACTATGGCCACGTGGTGCGTGGTTGTATGTAGAGCTCCTGTTCCCAGAAATAACTGGTCACACTTATTGACAAGCTAACTGATCTGCACTCACCCATTCCCTATAACAAGACACAGTTTTTGCAGGGGGGAAAAATAATTGCACCCAATGGTGCAGAAATCCTCCTGGTCCAAGCATTCAAGTGTAAATTATCCCTCCCTGAAGGTTTAAAAAACAAAACAAAACAGCACTGAAGGCAAGCAATTAGCAAGTGTAATATTATTAATGCTATAATTTGCTTAGCATTCCATTTCCTAGTTTGCTGTCTGCGTTAAGGCTTTTATTTTAAGCTTGTTTGGGAGGTCTGCATACTGTTGAGATGGCAATAGTGAGTCATAAAGGAATGCGGCAGTGCAAAGCACACAAGTGTGAAATTAAAGTGTAGAAGTATTAGCACATGTCTGTATGCCATTCTATAAGGGTGGGGTCAAAATGACAAAATCATAGAACAAAAACATACAAAAAATTATGAAAACTTTCTTCAAAATTCAGAATGGGACATTATGGCTCTTTCAAAATCTTATTTTAATTAGAGGAATAAAGTTGAATAATGGTAGCATTTTCAATGACGCATTTATGTACTCTGACAGCACAGGACAAAACAAAAAACAAAAAAACCTCACCCTGATAAAACAGAAAGATACCTTATGTTCTCTGGAAAGCATTACTGTATTTAAATTTCTCAGAAGCCAAAGACTGCCCTGACCTTCCCTCCCCAAATGGCAGAGACAGAGGAGGAGAAAGAAGAAATCGGTCCTCAGAAAGGAAAGTTTGACCTTGAAAAATTCCTTCATGAAGCTGTGGAGAGGTCTGCAAGATGGTGCTTCACTGACATCAGAGAGGTACACGTTATCATCATTATCTGCAGAGCTGGGAAGGACACGATGGATCATCAAGTCCAGCCTCTATCAGGGAGGCCCAGTGGGGAATCAAACTCCCAACCTCTGGCTCTGCGTTCCTAAACCACTGAGGGATCCGGGGCCAGAGTCTGCTGGGAGAAGTTATGGATCCACAGTATTCTTGCAAATTTCTTGAAACTTATTGCAAATTTCTTTCTGCCAAATATCTGAGGGAGGCTATGCCAGCCTTAGAGCTGCAACAGTTCATTTCCTTCCCAGAGGTTTCATGAAATGATCTGGGAATACCCCTAGTGCTACCCTAGGCAGAGCAGCCACTACCATCAATTTGGGGAATGGAAGTTTAGCAGGCCCTGTCATCCCCAATTATGATCAACCCCTGCCCATCTTCCATGGTGGGTCTCATATGCATAACTGAAGCTAACTCTAAGGTCATTAATCCTTTAAACAATGTAATATGTCTTGGTTAATAAAATGTGCTTTGATTTTGACTCATTATTGAAGGCCTCAGAGAAGAGAGCTTCACCTCAGCTCAAGGCCTAATCTGACTCAGTAACAGAAAATGTATTTTCCCAAGGTATGCGCATGTAGTGTCATATGGAAAGTCAATATCTCCTTCTAGCATTGAACTGCTCCCCTTTAATGAGATCCTATTAAAATCTTCATTAACTGCCCCCATCTTCTGCGAAACTAACGATTCTAATCTCCCCCCTCGCAACTGCACAAAGGGCACGACAGACTCAACACAGCAGGCCCAATTGGCTGTGGACTTCTGTCATCGCTCCAACATGTGTGAAAATTATGTCAGTTACATGCCGTTAAAATACGAAGGGGTCACGACGGCCATTTGGTTCTTACGTTTCTCTTTTATGTCGTTATTGGTGTCAAATATTTACACATGCCAAAGAAGAAAACCTTTTTTTTTTCCTTTGCCAAGGCAGTAGCAGTGAACCGATAAGAACAAGATCACCTCACCTCCTGCCTTCCATAAGGCCTCGTCTTTTCACGCTTCCAGGAAAGAATAATTCAGGTAAGCATCCCTAATTCTCACACATGAAAAGATGAAATGTACTGGCACCCCTGTCTGGCTGTTATGTAACAGATGATTCCCTGCCAATCCCGCGGTGTTACACTGCCATATACTGGCAGTTATTAAAAATAACAAGGCAATCCACAATTATAGGAGTTCTTGGAATAGACATCGGCTAGCCTGCTTTTGCAGGAGAGACTTCTGCACCTTTGGCACAAGGACAGATTTTTCATGAAACTAATATATGTTGCACTAATAGGTCTATTCAATGGATTTGGCAGCCCGGCACGATCACTACGGCAGTGCATTAGTTTACCTGCTGCCTACGTACAAAGGGACTCAAATGTGTGTCTCTGCGCATGCTGTCAGCCAGGATGGTGTAATGTCATCAAGCATGCAAAATGAGGAAATAAGGAAGAAAAGGAATCCCTAGATCCCAGAAAGGGGTACAGCCAGAATAATGGGTACCAGAAAATGTGCAACAAACAATTCTAATGGCAGAGAAACAGCTCATTAAAGCAGCAGATATTCAAAGTATTTAAAGAAACGACCTTCTTTGCATCTAGGAAGGGATGGTACCATGCTGGCTAGCTATGCCCAGTCTTACATTTCCAAAGACCTTAGGTTTGACTTCAGTAAGAACAGGAAATATGTACCCGTTGATCCAAGGTCCCCCTAGCATGGAGAAGCTCTGCACACAGAGGAGCCCATTCTCACTGAGGTTGTATGCATGGCTACAAGGCCATGGGCTGCCAATATGGTGAACAGGTAGCAGAATTCTATTCCCCACTTACATGCTGGTTGGACGCATGAAGTGTACAGTATTCCTTATCCCTTGCCCCTAAGATCACAAGAGGGAAACATAGACCTTTAGATTTTCCAGAAACTGTCCTCTGTCCCTGCATTCTTCCCTTGTGAAGCTTGATGGCTGCAGTGCCAATAAAATTACAGTACAGGAAGTATATGTATCTAAAATGTTTTTTCTTAGAGTTTTCA